AAGAAAGAAAGAAAGAAAGAAAGAAAGAAAGAAAGAAAGAAAGAAAGGAAAAAACAATCCACAGGGAACATTTGTTGTTCTACTTGTTCTAGTGTTGCTAGGCTCTGGGACTGTTTGTGAATATATAGAAAGTGGTTTGCATTCAATTTCCTGAGCACCGAAATGAACCTAACACGAAGCAAGGCAGGTGTAGGCCCTGTGGGTGTTTAGGAGCATTGACTCATTTTTGATCTGCATGGAGATCCACATGGAATATCAGGAGCTGAAGGGAGCTGGAGTGAGGCACAGATGAGGGGCTTAGCAAAGCTATACGCTGATAAGAGACCAGACTGAGCAGTGTCAGAAGGGAGCTAAGAGGTAAGTGTTTAGTGGGGAAGGCAGCATGAAGGAAATAATAGCCCACTGGAGGATATAAGATAACCTCAAAGGGGTTTGGACTCGATTATTAATTTTAATTATCAATTAAAATTATTAGAATTTTAAATGAGAAAACCTGAGTAAACAAATGTCCATACAATATCATTTAAATAAAATAGAGCCAGGTGACCTATTACTTTGATTCATCCATTTCCCTTCTTACAAAACCAAGAGCCAGTGATATATGCTCTACCATGATGTCTCTTCCACTATAGATCCATGTGTGCACTTACGTAAATACATTTTCTTCCCTTTTATGGGTACATTCCAACTCTATGCCAGAAGAGAATGAGACTGTGAATGTCTATAGTTAGTATATTTCAATTTCTATGAATTTGTGGGTGTGTTTTGTGCTGCTAGTAGACGAGTAGCTTTTGATTAGCTGAATTTATGTCCTCAGTAGTATTTACCAAATAAAACTTCCTTCTTAACTATTTGAGGTAGGAAAGAATAGCTGGATGGACTCAAACTACTGATAACATTAGTGAACAAATCCAGTTGTGTTGTTTGTTCCTGCTGTAGGAGTTTGAAAATACTTTCAGTAGCACAAGACTTAGCTTCTTGATTGAAGAAAACTCAAGAGTGGATTTTGCTCCTTTGCTTTCTGCTCATAAACATCATTATCTTAACAACTTACAGGGACACGCGAAACACTGAAGTGAAAAACCAGTGTGCTTCGTACATCTCTTCAACCTAACACATTGGGTTTCAACAACGTCTATGAGCTAACAAAGAAAATGTAGCAATTTTATCTATGGAAGCAGAAGGTTCAACAAACAGATATTATCAGGTTAGCTCAGAAGGAACTACTGTTAAAAAGTTCGTTTGAAAGGACAGTTTATATTAAGAGAATCACTTTCCCATGGGCTTTGAAACAAGTAACAGGAAAATGAAGTTTTACTGACACGCTTGTGATGTGGCTGGGCTGTGGTGAGGTGTTTCCATGCACATGGAAACGTTTGCGAACATGGAGGGAGACGTTAGGCTCTGTGTGATTAGTCTCTGGGGTCAGGGAAATGAGTAACTTAACTTTGTGTGTAATACTTGTGTGGTGAAATCTTACATCAAGTAATAAACACCTCCTCTCTCTGTGTGTGTGTATGTGTGTGTGTGTGTGTGTATCCTACTATCTTACTGAGCTGTGCCAAACAGAGTTGAAGCAAAACAAAAACAAAAGTACAACCCTCCAGTCCTGTTCTTTAAAAAGCACATGTCGCCGGGCGGTGGTGGCGCACGCCTTTAATCCTAGCACTTGGGAGGCAGAGGCAGGCGGATTTCTGAGTTCGAGGCCAGCCTGGTCTACAGAGTGAGTTCCAGGACAGCCAGGACTACACAGAGAAACCCTGTCTCGAAAAACTTAAAAAAATAAAATAAAATAAAATAAAAAGCACATGTCCTGGCTGAGAAGACTGCACTGAACATAGAGGTTGTTCTCACTGTGACAATGATTCCTTTTGCAGAGACGCCTCCCTTGTGAAGGATAAGAGTGGGATTTGTGGCTGTGTGTATAAGAACAGGCATTTAGAAGGCAGTTTTCTCTCATGTCTGTTGAACTAAACAACGATAATATGTTACCCAATAGATTCTGTGACCGTCTCAGCTATGGGATTTACCAGGTTTACAGTATCAGACATGAATTCCTTCCTGTGGACTGGTTTTTGAATCAGACAGAATTTAGTTAACCCCCGTAACAAATAACTGTGCCACAGTGGTGAATTCAGGGACTTATGCTAGCTCAAAATGCTAAGAATAAGGAATTTTTGAGTCTTCAACCTTAGACACAATGTCTGTGCCATCCCTTTGAAGGCCTAGGAAACATTGTGAAGAGCCAGAAGATAGAGAGATGGGTTGCATAATACGATGACACAGCTATTTCAAGGTTGAATTCACCTTAACTTCAGCTGCCTACACAAGACTGGACCTGCCAACAGTCAGTTCATGGATGAGAAAGGAACTTACCGGTCTCTACCCATCCTGGCTACTGGCGGATTCTGAGAGAGAGAGGAATCATTATATTGAGCTGTGCATCCACTAGTTTACCCACCAGCCTCCAGCAGAGAGTTTCATACTCATGTTCACTTAGATGGCCCTCCTCAAGTTCGGTGGCTCACAAAACAGAAGACATGAACTTAGAATAAGGACACATAGGGGAGAGTAGGAATTAACAGGGGTGGTGCACTGCACACATATATAAAATTTTTAAGGAATACATTTAATTTAAAAAAAGCTGTCAACACAAGTCATAAAGTGATATGAGGAACAAATTAGAGAGGGCAGAATGGAAGTCATTACGAAAGAATTGAGAGACGGAGGACAGAAGCAGGTGAAGTCTTTACAGGGAGACGGGAGAGGATGAGGAGCAGAAATGGGAAAGGCATAGATGGTGCCCACATTCACTCCCAGATCACATGGCAGGCTGAGACCACATCCGGAGGCAGCGGACATGAGCTGGGAAGAGAATGCTGTATCGGACAGTGGAGGCCTGCTAGTGTCACGAAAAGGCTTCCAAATGCTCCTGGAAGTAACAAAGAAATGCAGGGAGCTTCTGAGGACAATATCAGCAGGCTGAAAGGCATTTTGTTGGTGGTATGGGGGAGGGACAGCAATTGAGAACTTGAAGTCACAACATCTAGAAAATAAGTACTAACTGGTACTTGTTTCTATCTATATGGCAGTGGAAGGAAATAAAAGAGATCATAAAAAATGATTCCAGAGACCAGTAAGATGGTTCAGTGGGTAAAGGTGCTTACTACTAAGCCAGAAAACCTTTGTTAGATCACAGATGCAGTGTAGAGGAAGGCAAGGAGGAAGAGGACCAGTTCTTGCAAGATATATCCTTACTTCCACTCATATTCAATGACATGTGTGTGGTTTTTCTCAAGCAAACACACACACACACACAGAGCATAACAAAAACCATGTTTTTGTTGTGGTGGTTGTTATTGTTGTCCTTTGTCGAGACAGACTTTCTCTGTGTAGTCCTGGCTGTTCTAGAACTCACTCTGTAGACTCAGATTTGTTTGCCTCTGTCTCCAGAGTGCTGGGATTAAAGACATGTGCCACCATTGCCCTGGGCTGGGGTGGATTTTTAAAAACTGATTTGAATTTGGGTCCCTACTAGCAGAATATAGAGCTTCACTGATTTCACCAAGTACAAGAATAGTGATAGAAACCAAGAACTGAATACGTCAAAGGTCTCTGAAGAACAACAGAACTTGGGGTGTTCTGAAGGCCTCAGCAAAAGATGATCTGGCCCTGAACCGTCTCCTACAGTAGTCACTGGCCTCATGTACTTATGGACTTGAAATGAACATAGTTAAAATGAAATGAGCTCTAAGTCAAATATAGGTACCAGATTTTAAAGAATTAGTACAAAAACGATTATGGAAAGTCTCATTAATAACATTTAAATATTGGTTAGAGGCTGAAATGATAATATTTTTGCATGTTGTGCTAAATACAATATGCCATATAATTAAATTATCTTTGTCTTCAACTATGGCTGCTAGAAAATGCACTGATTGCATTTCTGTTAATATTGCTGCTCTAGATATTCTCAATGAAACTTGCTTCTATAATATTAAACACATGATCAATTTATACTTAAAGGAATTCTTACTCCACTGACCAACCTGAAATCTTTCAAGACATATTTTGCATTCTGTGAGCTTATTTTAACATTTTGTGAACAGGTATGTTATTTTATCTAGAACTGAGCTACTCTATCTTACTGAATATTTTCCTCTTTTTATTTTCCTATCAATAGATGAAGCGGCAGCTGATAGCCGCAGAACTTATTCACTAACTGACTATTTAAAGACTACCTTTTGGATCAAGTCCTACTCCTTGCGGTGGGTTTCAGGTAAGGCTCGTGTTTCGATGGATGAGAATGTTATGTTTGCACTCAATCTAGAGAGCTTGGGTTACTATGGGCTTTGGTCAATGAGAAGATACAACTCTTTCTTTTAAAACTGTGCAGTATTTGTTCTTGCTTAGAAGTGTAAAAGAGAGCCTGTTGGTGGTGGTATACACCTTTAATCTCAGCACTTAGGAGGCAGAGGCAGGCAGATCTCTGAATTCCAAGTCAGTCTGGTCTACAGATTGAGTTCCAGGACAGCCAGGACTACATAGAGAAACCCTGTCTCGGGGGACTAGTGGGATGGTGTAGTGTAAAGGAGAAAGCAGGAGGAAACTGAAGTGTTTCTTTGCTATATACTGTAAAGAGTTAAATGTGAATTGAAAGTTTGGCATTAATGGTGGGCATATAGATGAGTTTAGTATGATATTCTTGAATTCTGTTGGCATACAGTATGTTTATGTGCCCCGTGTGTGAACTTAATTTTTTTTTTAAATGTAGCTTATGCAAGTGTTTGATAGCAACTTGTAATACTGGCCATTTTTTTCTCTTTAGATTTTGAATACCTCTACAAACAAGAAAACAATATCTTGCTATTCAATGCTGAACATGGAAACAGTTCCATTCTCTTGGAGAACAGTACCCTTGTATGTTTAGTCACAGACACACTTAGTTCACGTATGGAATTCTGGGGACTGTTTTCATTTCTTTTCCAATCATGAGGACTCATTTCTCATCCTGTTGGACTCTGCAGCCCACAGCCCAATGGATCTTTCTCTCCTTCTTGAAACGCTCTCCGCCTTGACTACTTTTTAGTCTCCTTTGATGATTCCTCCTCTAGCTGTGTGTTTGAATGTAAGTGTTCCTCCGGCTTTGTCTTCACCCACTGGTCCCTTCCCACACTTTGGGTGCTGTCCTTGGGTAAACTACATGCATATCCATGGCTCTGGTGTTTGTCCTTCACGGCCTTGATTCTCATACATTCATTAACACTGAACTCTCAAGATCCGAACTTCACTTTCCAAGACTATACTGGCTCCTCCACAGCTCCCATAGGCATACGCAATGTAGTTCAGCATCCCAAACTCAACTAGAGACTTTTCCCTCTTCAGTGCCCTAGTGTCTCAAGCTATCATACTTTTCTGGCTCAATTCCTAGTCTTGGAAATGACCACTCCGATCTCCAAGTCACTCTACAGCCTTTCACTTTCCCTGTATTTAGCTGTGCAGGTTTCTATTGACTTCCTTCCTCCTCTTCACAGATTTCCATTCTGTGTCTCAGTTTCTATTCTAGAGACCAGGCTGAGACAACACCCCCTCACTTCCTTCTGGTTTCAGGCGTATGTCACCAGGGTATCTTGGGAAAAAATAAATAATTAAACACAGTACTTTCACCTTCATGTACAAAAACAAAACAAAAACAACAACAATAAACAACAACAAAAACCCTTAGTTCATGACCTGTTTGGGGGATTTAATGTCCTCTCATGTTCTACTATGTTGGCATAGCTATGCTGTGTTAGGGTTACAGGCAACCCCAAACATTCTAAATATGCACATTCTCTCCCATACTGGCTTTTCTCTCATGCTCCTCCTCCTGTGGGCAGAGTTCTCTCTCTGTCCAGGAACCTGCCTCTTTGGCTGATCCTTCCCTCTCTGGCTTTCTAACTGTCATGGTTGCCCACCTTATACCACTATCATTTGTGTGGGTGACTGTGCTATCTCGTTGTGGCTAGACATCCCTAAGGCACAATCCATATGTGTAGAGTTCTCTCTACTCTGTGAATGATCAAGAATCATTTGAACCATCCAGTTTTCTTTCTTCCACTTGATCAACAGGAAAGCTTTGGAGTAACTGATTATTCAGTGTCACCCGATCGACTGTTCGTTCTCTTAGAATACAACTATGTGAAGGTAAAGAAAATGCTTTCTTCTGTGATATTTTCAAATCCAGCAAATATGTTATGTTCTAACTGACTTCAAGTATATATGCACACTTAAGGATAATATCTAGTAACGCCACTGACAGAAAAATTTACTGCATATATTTAAAGAAATACATTTGAATGATTTTCAGTACTAGAAGGCATTATTAATACATTGGAATAGTGATTACACATAATAAAATTTATCATAGGGGTTTATGATATAATTTTAAAGTAACTTTTGTGTCTGACTTGTACACACAGGGTCTAGTCCTGTGTCTCTCTCTTCTCAGCCTATGTACATAGTATGACCTTCAATAAGTACTTGCTTTCAAGATGTTATCACCCTCATCTTCCAGAAGAGCATCTGGATAAAGCCCAAGTCTACATCCCAACCTTATTCAAGCCAATCTTGAATGGAGCTTAGCTCTAGTCACAAGGTTCTACTGAGATCATTGAGCATCTCCCAGTCATCTATGGAACATAGAGTTCTCAGATATTTAAAAAAAGAGTTATCAAATTATACATCTTCATGGTCACCAGAAGTCACTTTAGCTCAGCTTATTTTTTTTTAATTTTTTTGAGTTGATAACAGCTGTCAACTATAGAGACATTTTTATTATTTCAAATTTTGTCTGCCTTTCCAGTCTCTCCTTCATGACTCCTCATACCATTCCCCCTCTCCTTTGCCTCTAAGATGTTGCTCCCCCACCCACCCAGTCCCACCTCACCCCTCTAACCATCCTCCTTCTCTGGATCATCAAGCCTCCACAGGACCAAGCACCTCCCTTCCCACTGATGCCAGATAAGACAATCCTCTGCTACATATGCATTGGAAGCCCTGGACCAGTAGGCCCATGTATACCCTAGTTGGTGGTTTAGTCCATGGGAGCTCTGAAAGGTCCAGTTAATTGATATTGTTGTTCTTCCTATGGGGTTGCAACCCCTTCAGCTCCTTCAGTCCTTCCCCTAACTCTTCCACGGGGTCCCCTGACTCAGTCCAATGGTTGGCTGCGAGTATCTGCATCTGTCTTAGTCGGGTGCTGGCAGAGCCTCTCAGAGGGCAGCCATACCAGGCTCCATTCTTGGCATCAGCAATAGTTTTAGGGTTTGGTGTCTTTGGATGGGATGGATCTAGACATTACCCTGCCTTGGGATCCATCCTATCTGTATAGAGAATTTTAAAGTGGGTTGGAAGGACTGAAACTGTTTAGAGATACTCTATATTGAAAACAGAATACAACGGTGATGATTCCTACTTTTGATTTTTTTTCCTACTGGAATAAATATTGAGTGACCTTATCTCATAGATCAACCTATCTGAACACTGGCCAATCCAAACACTCCCTTCTCCCTTTGACTCCTTGGAATGGTGCCGTCCCATCATAGTGTTTACCTTGAATCCACCACATGGGCTTTACTGTCACATTCTACTAAACCCATCAACTCTAAGCAAATTAGATATCTGTCACTTTTACACATCTCTTCTCAGTTATTGCACTTGTGTGCATAACACAGAGCTTCTTATTACAATCCCCAAAACAAATTTAATTGAGAAAAAAAAATTAAAGTCCTGGTGCCCAGCTTTAATCTGGGATTAACTTGCTATCAGAATTTTCTATTGGTCTAGATTATTCTAACTAACAACTGGGGGTGCAAACTGGTGGATGACAGTTATGAATGTTAAAACCTAATCATGTATGAAGGTAAAGCTGAAGCAGGGTGAGTGAACCAGGTCAGTTCACTGTTCGATGGTCTGGTGTAGTGCAGTGTTAGATGCAGCTCCCTGGCATAGCCATAGACATCAGCACCAGGGGTGTATGTTGTCATCCTTGATTTCATGTGTTTTCTAGACCCTTCTACTCACTCCAGGGAGTAGTCAACGTATTTCCTCTATATTCTAATTTAGGTTAAGTCACATCTATGGAAAGCAATACCCTCCAGTGGTGTCTCTTACACAGAATGAGGTATCATCTTCTCACGGCACTGTAGAGCCATTGTGCACGGATCTCATTCTGGATCTCAGTCTGTGAGCTGATAGAGCACTCTGTCCCACACTCATGGTGGTTGAGGAACACTTCTCTTCCCCGCCCCACTTCAGAGTCACATGGCTCTTGAGTTTTCTCAAGCATCACTCACACTCCCATCCAAGAGCCAAAGCTCTTGCTCTCTCTTTCTACTGGAGCCTTCTTTCCCAGCATCTTCTGATTTCTGTCTTTTTGCTGCTTTCCTGGCTTGTTTTGGGTCATTTAAATATGGCTGCCCATCCTTCTGGCCATCCTTCAACCCTCACACCACTCCGACACATCACCTTTTATTTTCTTCCTAACGTTTATGCTGTTTTGATAGTTTTTGCTTATTTATTGCCTTCCATATTTCTTGAGAGTTTCCCTATGTTTTACTCTGTACTGTACTGGACCACAGCGGTACATGCATGCTTTGTTGCAGAACATTAAATTGCTAAATAGCTGCAAACAATGGACTGTATCTTCCGTCTTTGTCTCTGCCTCTGTCTCTCTGTCTTTGTCTCTGTCTCTCTTTCTCTGTCTCTCTCATATATATATATATATATGAGAGAGACAGAGAAATATATATATATATATATATATTTCTGAGAGTATCTAGAGGGCAATAGCATTAACACCTTCAAAAAAAAAAAAGAAAAGAAAAAGTTAGTTTTATTGCATCTTCTTCTTCCAGTGTCCTTGAGATCTTCTTCCATCACATCTGCAATCGCTATTCCTAAGTTGTAATGAGTAGGCATCCTGCCATCATACAGATGCTCTCCTAGTATCTCTGTTCCCTGCCACACACTCTGGAGATGGGACTGTGTTCTCTGTCCTGTGCTGATCATGCATGATGGTCTTGGAAGCACTTCACATGTAAAACTGAAGTTAGGAAAGCAGCTTCTCTGACCTTGTAGAGTGGAGACTTTCGTTTCTAGGGTAAGGGACGCCGCAGCTTATGATCTTAAACATGACCTTTCCTGTCTTTGCTTTTCAGCTTTTATTTGACAGCCCTTTCTCTCCTGTTCTCCATGGCAATCATCCACTAAGAACTCAGCCCTAGACTCTTCTTCCCCATAGATTTCTCTCATGCTCTAGAGCTAATTTAGGACTGCACGCTTGCTTTGCCTGCTTCCATCATAGGTCTTGGTACATTTTATTGTGATTTCTGTGTTGCAGTCCATGTTCCCATGTGCTCTGTTTAGTTAGCAGACCTTCAGTGAAAGCAGGTGATGGCACCACTCTTTATAGACGAAGGCGATAAACCTAATTCATTTTATACCTCATGAGAGTTTTGTCACGATCCCAAGATGATCTCAGTCTTTCTTAGTTTTTCTAGATTTTACCACACCTTTTGGCTTTGGAAAATATTGTGTTCTAGATTGCCAGGAAACAAACATGGGGTGTGTTCAGTAGTCCAGTGTCCAAAAGGAATGTATGACATACGAGAAATGGGAATGTGATAAGTACTTGTTGACATGAGGGTGGAGGAGGCTGAGAAGTAATAAGTAGGTAAGTTGAGGAGCCCTGACTTCCCCTCAGCTTCACTACCAGACAGCCTCCTCAGTGACAAAGCTTGAATTTTATTGTAGTTTGTTTTCTGAAACAGTACTGCATTGTTTGTACTAAACCCCAGGTATCGAGTAATAAGACTTGCTGTTTTTAAAATTTTATTTAATTTTTTTTAACACTCCAGATTGTATCCCCTTCCCGGTCCACCCACTGACTGTTCCACATCCCACACCTCCTCCGCCTCTTCTCCATGAGGATGTCTTCACCCTCCACCCCCCACGCTACCAGACTTCCCCACCCCCTGGGGCCTCCAGTCTCTTGAGGGTTAGCTGCATCTTCTCTGACCAACCCAGTCCTCAGCTATATATATTTTGGAGGCCTCATATCAGCTGCAACATGCAGCTTCTAGGCTGCATGAACAAACAAGGCTGCTATGAACATAGAACACATGCCCCTGTGGCATGGTTGGGCATCTTTTGGGTATATGCTCAAGAGTTGTATAGCTGGGTCTTCAAGTAGATCTATTACAATTTTCTGAGGAAACTCCAGATTGATTTCCAGAGTGGTTGTACCAGTTTGCAACACAACAAGCAATGACGGAGTGTTCCTCTTTCTCCACTTCCTCACCAATGTGTGCTGTCACCTGAGGTTTTGATCTTAGCCATTCTGAGTGGTGTAAGGTGGAATCTCAAGGTCATTTTGATTTGCATTTCCCTGGTCACTAAGGACTTTGAACATTTTCTTAAGTGCATCTCAGCCATTGAGATTCCTCTGTTGAAAATTCTCTCTTTAGTTCTATACCCCATTTTTTGATTGGATTGTTTGGTGTTTTGGTGGTTAGTGTCTTGAGTCCTTGCCTTGCTTTCTTACCCATGCAACCATTTGAGAATACAAATGCACACCCAATGGATATCAAAAGCTCCTTTAATTTTATTCACATAGAAGCAGTTTTTCACAACGGCGAGAGTGTGCTCATATGCACCACATATCTCCTTCTCTGTTTTTTCTTAGTTCCCTAAAGTCTAGCATATTTCTCTCTGTATTTTCTATTAATTCATATGATTCTATGGAAATCTATAGGGATCCTTTCCAGTTACTGCTTACTCTATTGAAATGGAATGTGATAGCACAGAACTCCTCCTTCTAATTCATTGCTCTAATGCATTTCAAAACTGGTAGATACTGTGTTTGGGGGCAGGCTTAGTTTGCTGAAAGTAAGCAAAAGGTTCCTAAACACTCCCTTGTTTTCTTTTCCTGGGTCTTCTCTATAAACATCCTATATTGAGGAGGGTACATCTGTAACAGTGCAGGAGCCAACACTGACGCATTATTAACTCAAATCTACAGTTTTACACTGTGGTGACAATGTGTAGAATATTCATTGAAGAACCCTTGAGAGTTCCTATTGTGGGAAGTCCCCTGTGTTCTGTTTGTTCTTCCCTCCCTGCAGCCAAGCACCACTGACTCTATAGTTTTGCCTTTTCCAGGAATCTGTGTATTTATTTCAGTATATAACCTTTCTGATTGCTTGATAGTTTATTATTAAAAAAAAAAACCACTCTGAATAGTATCCTATCACATCCTCTATCATGATCTGGTAATTCATTCACCTGTTATTGAAGGATGTTTCAGCTGCATCCATGTTTGGACAATCCTGAGTAAAGCTGTTGTGATCTTTTGTCTGTAGGTTTGAAAGACTAAGGGGTTTAATGATCAAGTCATTTGGATATGGAACTTTCCTTACTCTTCTCATTGATGTCATGTGCTTATTAGCTGGAAGACTATTTCAAGAAAATTTCCTTGTTTCCATGTTTTATGATTTATTGGAAAAATATGTTCATAATAGTCTCAATCTTTTAATGATTACAAGGTCTGTTGTGGTGTCTCGCTTTTCATTTCGGATAGTGGTTTCTTATTTCTCTGTAATGTTAAGTAGGTAGCAGTTTTAAGTGTCATATAGAACCAGCATTTGGCCATTAATTTTCACCACTATATGCTTTTATTTCATATTGGTCTTTACTGTATTGTTCCTTTCTTTTCACTACCTTGAATTTATTTTGATGTTCATTTTCAACTGCTTGGTTTCTTAGTATTGAAGACACACATATATTAATTTTTAAACATATTTCATATAGCTTTAAAAATTCCAACACTAGATATTAAGTAAACATTCCTTCTCATCTCTACCACCAACAAACTAAGAAATAATCTAAGTATTTTAGAAGCTATGTAGGTGAAAGGTGAAATTTTGAGGTTTTTTTTTTTTTCTAAACAGGTACCCTTGCTGTACTATGCAAGCAATAGTATTGCTCAATATCTAAACTGACACTTGGGCCCACAGTGATCCTGTGAAAGGTTCTTGAAGGAGGTGATGCAAAAGAGAATAAACTCTTTATGATCTTTTACTAGGTGATTTCAAATATGTTTTCAATTCAAAACTTCTAAGAATTCAAGGAATGATACTGTATGTTGAAATTTGAAATTTATGCCTTGCCTGTAATCTTGAGTTAATGGCCAGCCAATTGGAGTCCCAGAAGCCTGAGATGTCTGTTTTCTTTTGCAGCAATGGAGACACTCCTACACAGCTTCATACATTATTTACGACTTGAGTAAAAGGTCAGCGACTCCACCATCAAGATCACTAGGCTTTCCAAATGTAATTTTAAAGGCTATCCCACACTGGGTTATTATTTTGGAAACGTATCCTCTTATCTTTTCTATAGAGAGTTGATCACCGAAGAGAAGATTCCAAATAATACACAGTGGATTGCATGGTCACAAGAAGGTCATAAATTGGTAAGTACATTTCTCCTGACAGAAACAGATTGGCTGGAGTCTTTTCTAGGCAGATGCTACTGACTCTAGTAGAAAGCACACATTTTGAAAGCCCTTTCAGTCACTATATTAGTGATATAGGGTCATTACTCCAAACAATATTTAATTAGCCCAGAAAAAATTATCAGAAGTGTCAGCCATATTGTGGCTTATTCATTGGGGAAGTGCTTCTTAAACTCTTAACTTCTCCTTGTTTGCTGTGCTTGAATATTTTTGAGTCTCTCTTCAAAATCACTGCAGTTGTAAATCCTGTTTATGGTGCTGGAAGAATGATAAAAGCCCAAAAGAATTTACATAACAAGATGGGATGTTTTTCTGCAGTTGCTCTACATTCCCCCAGTAATGTTCCAGACAGGAAACACAAGCCTAGAGGATCCTGCGTAGATGGTCTGTGGGCTAGGTCATCACACACACACACACACACACACACACAATCATTTTCCCCATAGTGACAGCTGAAAGCCTCCTTGTTTCAACATATTAAAAACTTTTTTATTGTTATTTTGAGATGATTGACCGTATACCTGTAATTTAAGAATGAGGTTCTTTCTTAGATGGATTCTCTATGGTTATCTTCTTCTTTGAATAGTATTTTAAGATCCCACTATAAACACATTGTAACGTGATTACTGATATCAATATGTTTTTTGATCTTTTTAGGCATATGTCTGGAAGAATGATATTTACGTTAAAATTGAACCACATTTACCTAGTCTTAGGATCACAGCAACAGGAGAAGAAAATGTAATATATAATGGAATAAATGACTGGGTTTATGAAGGTAAAGGCTAAACTTTTAACCAGAAAGTCTATAGCTTTTAAGAACTCTTCAACATAGCTGTGCTAAAAACTGGGGCAGTCAGTAAGACCCAAAATGAGTTGTGTACGTTAACATTTCGTGAGATAGCTTTTAGACCTCACAGTGACACAGAACCTTCTGCCCCCGTCGTCTCACAGTCCTCTGCTTGTCTTTGGTTTCCTATCACAAAGGGCCTTTCTGTGGCACTCCTCTAGCCTTACCAGGGCGTGACAGCATCCAGATTAGCATCAGATGTTTCTCCAAGGACGCCTACCTAGTCCAGAAGTTTCCAAGAAAAGTGAACTCTTCCACAATATTAAAGAGAGAGAGAGAGAGAGAGAGAGAGAGAGAGAGTCTACAGTTGCCAAGTGGAAGGAAAGAAATTGCTTGTTTTAGAAAGAATATGTGTTCATTCGAACTAACCTGGGATGGACTGTGATTTCCTGTTTTTAAAGAAAACAAAAATAATTAGGAAAGTTTAGTCAGAATAAGTAGAAAACAATACTCAAAACCTTCAAAAGGAATATTCTGGCTTTTAGGATAAAGAGATTTAGGCACTATTAGGAAAGCATTTGCATGTGTCAGTTGCCAAGATAAGAGGCATTTTTGAGGCTGTTCCAAATTATTCACAAGAGTGCCTCATATTTGTTAGAAAGACTCAGCCTCACTTCATCTTGTTATTTCTTAGCTTCCTACTTAAATTTTGATTCTTAGGAGAGTCAAGTTAATGTAATGGTAACATATGACAACAAGCAGAAATAGTGTCAAGAGAAAGATGAGTTTCCATTTCTGTAAGTGTTTCATTAAAACCAACAATTGAATGACAAGTTCTTTAAGAGCTTGGCATCCCAACATTGAGGGTCTTTCAGGGCCTTCAAGATGGAACAGAAACAACCTCCTCCTGGACTTGTGGCTCTCCCTGGAAACAGCTGGGTGTTACTACAAAAAGAATTTTACCAACTCAGGCTGTCTCCTCTACATAACTGTGACTGGAGGGATTTCATTTGTCATGTTCACATCTGAGTGACTGGATGCAGGAAATACCCTCACGGCTTTCAAAGGGCATTCCTCTAAAGATGGGTCTCAGTGCCTAGAGAGATATAACTATATTTTTAACTAGAGGAGATATGCTCTGCCTAACAAATAGGTACTAATTGAAACATGGCCTTAACTATACCCCTTATCAGTGTTTGAAAGAAATTTTAAAAATGAAAACCCTAATCTTAATTGTATATATATATATCATATGTGTGACATTATATACCATATACAATATATATGTGATATGATATAATATATACCACATGTATGTAATATATATTGTATGTATGTGATGTGATATAGCATATATTATATATATATATATATACATATATATATATATATCATGTGTATGTGATATAATATATAATTTATATGTACATACATACACACATCCTTGGAAGTGTATTGTAGACATGACTCAGTGGGTCAAAATTCTAAGAAATAAGATCTGGACTCAGTATATGGGGACTTCTGTATGGAAAGTTTTGAGTTTGTGTATGAAGGCCTGAGTTATAGTTCCTGGCTAAAACTTCTCACTTAATCTACCTCAGTTTTCCTCTCTGTAAAATGGTCTATGAATAGATTAACTTAGGACTGTCTCTGAGGACCAAACTGAATGTGGTTTATAAATCATGTGACATAAATATAACTTCACAATTCAGGTTTAAAGCAGTCAAAGTGATAGCAGGCTACCATACCAAGGGTTAGGTGTTCTAAAATGAAACTGCTGAAAAAGAGGCGAGTGTGAGCCATATAAGATGCTGAGTGTGAGCCATGTAAGATGCTGAGTGTGAGCCATGTAAAATGCCAAGCACACTCTCCAAACTGACAGGTTAATTCTTGATTCTACTAATTATTAGCCATATAACTTAAGGCGATATCTTTACATTTGTTTAGCCCTGTTCTGTTTGGGTTACCTATAAAATGGGTTATCACGAAGATTGCCTGGAGTAATAAATGTCAACCATTACCAATTCCTGGCACATGGCACTCAACAAATATAAACGACTCATAAAAATAAATGTTACATATCATTACTGTTATTATTCTTATTTCTGCAACCATCATTTCTGTTATTAAAAATGTATTTTTGGAGAGGTGGAGAGATAGCCCAGTGTTTTTTTGTGACATTTGCAAAGCACCTGAATTCTAGTCCCGGCATTCACACTGCTACCTCACAACTGTTTATAACTCTAGTTCTAACAGGACCCAACACCTCTGGCCGCCTTGACCACCTCCACTCATGTATCTACATACCCACATACAGACATATCCATAATTTAAAACAAAAGCAAATGTATTTTCCAGCCATTTTCAAAGAGCTTTTAGTGATCCAAAAACCAATTGGCATAAGTAATTTCCTAATCTTAAGATTGCAGAGTCTGTGTTTTGGTTCTTATGCTGATACCATCAAATGAAATGTAAATTGGGGCTTTCCACCATCTACCTACATGTTTATCAGTTTTCTATCATCATAAAAAAATGCACAAGAAGACATTTTTAAGGAGGAAAGATTTATTTTAACTCAGGGTTTCAGAGACTCAGTTCCGGCTCACTCGGCCACTTGGCCACATTGGTTTGCCTCTAGCAGCCCAGTACAGCTTGGAAGGACACACTGTACAAGAGGGTTTTACTTCAGAGATAGAAAGAAGCAAAGAGAAAGGGCCTGAGGTTCCAATATCCCTTTCATGGTCACAGTCCCAGTGACCCAAGTTCCTCTCAAGACGATCCAAATCTTTAGCTCATCACCACTTTCTAGTTGCACCACAGACTGAATGCCAATACTTTAACTACGTGAGTCTCTGGAGGGAGTCCAGACCCACACCACCGCAATCTGGATCTTAAGTCCCCCGTTGACAAGGCAGATGTGCGTATTTTAGAAGCCCGAGATCAAACATCCTGTGGATAGGGCCCCTGGTAATCATAGTGAGGAACTGCCTTTGTCAGAGCTTGAAAAGGAGTCCTTCAATATACTTGAAGGCGGTGCTTTTCTCTCCATTGGATTTACCTTTCATTCTCTTTCTCTATATATCAGGGGAGGAGTTTAAGTCAGGGAGCTTTTAGTTTCTAGGCTGGGCAAAAGAAATGTTTCCCTGTAGGGGTCTGCAGAATTCTCTCCATTCGAAATGCATCCTTTCCACACTTTATTTGTGCCAGAATAGTAAACTTTGGGCACGATATTGGTTTGATAGCCTAGAGCTAGGCACCACCCACCAGTACCTCGTGGACTTGGTGAAAACTCTGCCCAGTCAGGGAGAGTATGCTGGCATGTTGACTGTTTGAAAATTAGAAAGGAAAATCAGCCTCCTGTGTGAAATTTACTTTTAGTATGTTTTGAGGCATAAATTTAGAGGATTATAAGATAAAGAAAAAAATAGAGAGCTTATATCCAATATTGCATACTGAAATATTCTAAAATGGTCCAATGAGTGACTTATTTTTACAATCTAGATATATCCTTGAAGATTTTATTTTTATTCATTTGTATTACTTCGATTTTGGAATCCCAGCAAATGTGAAACGGTTCATTAGTTGAACTCTACTATAATTACTAAAGCTAATGAGAACAATATTTTGAATGCCAAAGCCAATTTATGAGCTTTCTTGTAACAGAACAATTTATGTCTTTTTTCAGAGGAAATCTTCGGTGCCTACTCGGCACTGTGGTGGTCTCCAAACAGCACTTTTCTAGCTTATGCCCAGTTCAATGACACAGGAGTGCCACTCATTGAATACTCCTTCTATTCTGATGAGTCACTGCAGTACCCCAAGACAGTGTGGATTCCATACCCAAAGGTCTGTGCTCCCGCTCAGATTGTGGTTCTGCAATTTGATGGGGGGGAAGAGAATGGTTGCATTTAATCCCTTCTTGCTAATGAAAATATTGTCAGTCTCTCTTCAACAGCTTTCTGTGATTTCTCTTGCTGAAGTCAACAGCATCTGGGCAATTTTAAAGTATTTTTATTATCCCAGGAAAGAGTGTGATTTAAGGTTTTGTAATTTCTCCAAAAACTCTAAGAAATGACAAGCAGAAAAAGATGGTGAAAATGATTTTGAAAGAGGTAGGGGAGGGGTAGGAAATGCTTGAATGAAGGGAAAGGGAGGCTGTAATTGAATCAGGAGCTCATCTCATTTGTAGAAGTTGGAATGAGCCCGAACTGAAGTTGAAAAGCCTGGTTATATATCAGATTGTATTACTAATTAACAGGATACAGTGCATGACGAGTTTCAGTGGCTCTGTTACAGGTTTGGCACTGACGTGAGTTTTGCACGTCCTACATTTGAGACAGTCGTGTCGCATCCTGGGTTTCAAGATTGTTCCCTGCTATCCACGCTGTGTGTATTAAAATCAAGGATCTTTGTCAAGCAGTATAAGCCAGGAGAGGGCTTTAGAAGGGAGCCAGGAATTCTTCAGCACCATAACAAAAACGGCCATAGCTTCGTCGTCGTCGACTACAGGAAAAGCTAACAACGTATTTCTGCCGTAAATGATTTGGAAAAAAAAGGAGTTTTTATTTTTACCAACTCACTTAATTTGCCTTATGAAGATCTGCCATTTTAGGAAGGGAGAGGAAGTTAAAAGGAAAAAAGATCCTAAATTAAATATGGAGATGTGTTTTCAGAGAATGTTATTTTTTGATGAGTGAAACTGAAGGGGAAAAAAGCTCCATAAAACAGTCTCTAAAAATCATATTATTTCTAACTAATCTGTCAATAGAATATCCATGTGTGCATTCTAAAAGGCTTAGAGACTTCTGTCGTAATACTGACTGTTGAGCCCCACAACACGGTCAACCTGGACTTGACATGAAGTTACACCACCCATCAGCACTGTTGGCTCTGGCTTCAGGCTTATCTTTCTGGTATAACAAGCCTTTGATGCTATACAAGTGATATTCACAGGGAAGCCACCAAAAACTTTTGTCCTATAGAATCAGAATATATTGGCAAATGATAGAGTTGCTTTTTTAAAAAGACGTTTGTCCTCTTCTGGCACAAAGCACACAGATGATGAACAAGTGAACATGCGTGGTTTAAATATGAGTGTTTGGACCTTCATGTTTTATAAACACACACATGCACACGAATATTTTTTTTACCTGGACACATAAAGGATTTTCTTTATGTTCATTTAATTTCTAATTAGATTGTTTGACAGTGTCCAATTGTTATAATTCTATAGTCATAATTCAGACATTTTAATGCAGTTTAAATTTGTGTAATGATGAGACTGGTTTTTTTTTTTAAAAAAAAAATCATTATCAATTCTGTGGGTTTTTTTCCCCTAGGCAGGAGCTGTGAATCCAACTGTAAAGTTCTTTATTGTAAATACAGACTCTCTCAGCTCAACCACAAGTACGGCTCCCGTCCAAATCACTGCTCCTGAATCTGTGGCAACAGGGTAAGATGCTCCACCTGAGTGCTTGGGTGGAGACCGTTTCCTGCTCGCTGCTGCTGCTGCATAGGGCATTTCAGACACAGATGGCAACATCAATCATAGCATTGTCTTGTATCATTGATCCGTTCTTTTGTCTGGGGACTTCCTGTTGACGCAGTTCTAAAGACGGGCATGCACAGTGAATAGGGCAGCCAGGCATCACTGGAGGAAACAGGCGATGACCAGTTAAAAAAACAAGTATTGGTCTAAATTGCCAGGTGGTAATAAATGTGAATAAAATCACAGGGTGAAAGTGGCTAGGTAGGGGGTTCCAGTGAGAATACCCAAGGCTAGAGAGGAATCTCTCCATTGGATGACATGTGGGGCTGCTACAGGCAGAGAAAATCCAAAGTTCCATAGAAGGTATGTTCTGGAATCTTAAAGGCACTCCAGTGAGGGAGAACAATGATACTGCAGGCTAAGGACCGTGCAGGCTTCTCTGGGTATGGCAATAAGCTGTCTACAGCATAGTGTGTCCACCACAGTTGGTGGGTCCTGTAATGACCTGTTAGTCTGTAGCCAACACATTTTTATTGTAAAGCGCCTGGGTGCCTCTTCAGAAACAATTCCCAGATCTGGGACTAGCTTTAGACCTCAGCATTGTTTTAAAAACCATTTTTTACAAAGGACTGAATACCCTCATTTTGGATGAGCGGTACTTATTCTGCACAGATCCAGAGAAATTCAGAGAAACTGTGGGTCACATTTGGGAAGCCCAGCAGTTGATTAACTCTCAAGATGTCATGTGCTTAAATAATCTCAGATGGCTGAAATCCTGCCTTGCAAGCACTGTAAGATCAAGTAAAAAGTCAGAGCATGCGTAATTTTCCATATAGCTTTTTATGTCACTCTATTATTTATGCTGGTTTGTTTTAAGTAACAGCTATCATGTGCTGAGCATCCACTGTGTGCCAAACATGGGCTTTAACACATGATCACTCTCACTACTTAAGTTATCTTAAGTAGCTCTCTTCCCAAAAGCTATTATGACTCGTCTTTCGTACAGATAAGAGAATGAGGTCCAGAGGTTAAGAAAAAGACCTTAACCTTGGGAGGGCCTGTTCAGTTAGGCTCTCTGGATAGAAAGGGGGACTATGAGAAACTTTCTCTGTGACTAGAGCTGGTGCCCTCAGGGAGCCAGAGATGGCATCAGAGCAATAAATAGTAAAACATACTGTTCTTCTCAATTGATACCATCAAGCTTGGTGCAAATTGTGTACTATGCTGAAATTCACTAGCTTGGTTAGAAATAACTGTACTAATATGTTTATTCAGGCAAGGAATCTTACCAGTAAGAATTTTAAATTCATCAATTTGTCCATTAGTTGTTTTTCCCCCCAAGATATAAAACTATACCCAAAGGTTCTAAAGCCTGTTGTTTCAACCCAGAAACTTCTTAAGTCAACACTGATTGAAAACCCACAATTTACAAATTCAAGGTGTGTAAAAGGGTGTGGGTATGGACTCTTCTAGCATTTCTAATCAGGGAAGTGATACCAAACTTTCATATAAACGGCTAGGAGAATAAAGTGACCACCTCAGGTTGGCCGTATTCCAAGTCGGAAGGCTTGATGGGTTTTCTATGGCCCGAGAGATCAAAGAAGGCTTCCTGCAGAATGTGCCCCGAACGGGTGACTTGGAGCAGGAAAGAGGAAAGGAAAGCGCTGAGGTGGAACCCACAGAGCATGGGAAAGGCTGGCCAGGGAAAGCCTGGATGTACTACTCTCGCTGGGACCTCTCAAACTGTAGCCAACAGCTGTCGGTAGAGAGGTGCAGCCCAGAAAACAGTCCCAACTAGAACTACTGTAGACCTCAAAAAGGGTTATCAAACTTTGTAAAAATCACCTGAAAGCCTTTATTTCTATGTGACACAATCCTGTGGCACGCTTCTGGAGAATAGATGGACGATTGTTGCGTGTTGGGCAAGCCTCAGGCTTGCACCCACTCCTTCTCTTAAGTTCCTGGAAAAAAAGTAGAGAGGATCTGGGGAGGTCCTCAGAACTGTCAGAACTCCACTGTGAGTGAGCTGGGGAATCACAGAGAGAAAACAATTTTTTAAAATCACACAGCAAGTTAACATGGGAAATAGGAATAAGGAGAACAGACACCTTTGCTTACTGAATGAAAACGAGGACATTGACTATTCAAAGGCATGGCTGAGGAGAAGGATTTTAATTGTAGATACGAGAAAGCTAGAGGCATCAGGAGGGGTCCAGAACGGAGAGAAACAGTCTTAACATGCAGACTGAACTGTCCATGAAAGGAGAGAGAAAAAAGGGAGAACGAGTGAGGAAGAAAGAGAGGAGGAGAGAGGAGTTGCTGACCAATAAGACAAGAGCTGAAGACCAAGAGATCTCCTGGCCTAGAAGCTGGGAGAGAGCAAGTGAAGCTCAGTGCGGCACTCCTGGAACTCCCCACCCCCACCCCTACATACGTTTAGGACAGAGGGTGGGGTTAGAAGTGTTGGGAGGAGCTACAGGTACTGAGTGACACTTGGCACTTACTAGAACAAAATGATTGACTAGCTAGATTTAACATCGAGCACTCTCTGTGGCCTGGGCTAGTTAGTGATCTGCCCTTGGTTTCTCACTCAGTCCGCACAACACCCTATGATATTGTTTTCCAGGTCACCTCACAGATGATGAAAATGCGTCTTCCCTGCCAAGAAAGCCCCACTCAAAAAGCACAGTGGGAAAGTGCCGAGCTCAGAAGAGTTAGCCAAGTCTTAAGGACTTAGTGTTTGCTCTTTGCGAATTAGTCACCTTCTTCTTCGCTCTTCCGTACTTCCTTAAGCTAAAGGTGAGGGCTGCCTTATTGGCTGCCTATTTAGAACAAATTACCAAAGAGATGTCTGTCTTAGGAAATGCCACAGGGAAGTGTTCCAGGGAGAATCTAAGATACAGCTGTGATCTCTGTTAGTACTGCTGAGATCTTAGCTTTTCTACCATGAGACCTTAGGACCACCTGGGAAAAATATTCTCTCACTTGATGAGACAACATTTCAGGCTTTTAGCAAAAGACCCCCAGAAAAAAGGCAGTCCTGACAAGGCATACTTAGTGAGTGTCTCTCTGCCTTGCGCTTCCTCTTGTGACTCGCTACATCCTTGAGTTGACTATCAAACAAGCTCAGTACCACCCTTCCTGACTCTGCTCAGGTCTCCTCACTCATTTTGTTTGTCCACTCCTTCCATAGAGCTTCCAGCAAGTGGAGTCCTGTTAGTGGCTGAGCCTGGTCTGTGCCTCTGTTAGTAATTAGAATGTGAGTACGAGGAGCCTCTCTACCACCCTCAGAGATTAAGTCTTGAGGCTGATTAGGTTATTTAAGCTGATGGTTTGCACTGACTGCTCCAAATGGGAATCTGAGAGCTCAAAATGTTTGAGAGGAAATATTATACAATACAGATGTTACGGAATTCCTAAATTTTCTTTACAGTTGTGTTTCCAGGGCCAACTGAAGCAAGACAAGATCTGTCAGAGAGGGAATGGTAACTAGTGTCCAGCAGGATGACTGAGACACAGTGTCTGATACTGTAGAATTACTGAAGAGATAAGAAGCCAGGTGGCCAAATGGATGGGTTGGTAGATGACTGGATGGGTGGTTAAGAAAGTTGGGCTTTCTGTGTGGTCCTGTATGCATGTGGTACAGGAATGAATCGCCACAGCCAGCTCCAAGGATAGCTTTCAAAATCATCCTGTGTACCAAATCCTCTTCTCTCTCTCTGACTAGCTATATGCAAATTCTGCAGGCTAGGACTACAGGACTGGAGAAGGTGTCTCTAGTGAGATGATCCCTCCCAACATCCAGTGAAGAGCCTCAGAGGCCCAACACACCCAGCTGATGATTTACCCTGTCCTTGTTCTCCCAGACCTTAAGGGACACACTAGATAAAGACTCCCTCTATCTCTCTGAACACCAGATGACCCTTGGTCTACACACTAGGCTCATCAAAGCCTGAGATTACCAGGCAAGAGGTAAACTGGACGGGTGTTCCATCCCTTCAGCCAGCATGCAGGTGATGATGCCTGTAAGAAAGCAGACAGATTAGGCTTGTGTGCTACACAATGCTGTTTCCCTCAACCCTCCTGCATCCCATCCCACCCATCCCTCTTCTCAGCAATCTGTCAGTGGACCCAGGAGGGTTGGCATCCCTATCAGAGCAAAGGGTGGCATGAAGCCCACGGCCGGCACTGGCAGTACGCCTGCTTCCTTTGGTGACTCACTGAATTAATCAGTCCCAGGCTGCAGTGGCTCTGGGTAGCATTTCCCCCCTTCGCTATTCCTTCCAGTTAGCAAAGCATAAGCATCATTAATGTATAGTTGAAACATTTACACAAATTAAGGCAGCAATGTCACCTCAAAGCCTTTTATGAAATGCTTTCTCTTTGCAAGGACAAGAAGTCACTTTTCAAGATTTGTCACAGCAGGATGTCCTATGAGTGTAGCCAGCTGACTTTCTTCGTAAAATTTAGCTTTACGTAGTTTAAGGAATAAGTAGATTTCATTGAGAAAGGAGTTGTACACTTGAGGAAGCATAGGAGTGGAATGAAATAGTAGGACTTCCCAGTGGGACAGGGAAATATTTACAGGAGGGGCAAAGAGGGACAGGGGAATCTGAAGCCATCTGCTTGATTTGAAGTCCGGCTCCAGAGGTTTCTGATTGGTTGGTCTTGGGAAAGTTACTTAACTTCTCTACACTTGTGTTTCCTCATCTGCTAAACAGGAACCACAATGGTACCTGCCTCACAGAGTAGTCTTGAGGCGTATGGGAAGTAGCCAGTTTCTTGCAAGTCAAGTATAAACTCTCATAAATCCAGAAATTCACTGTTTCGACATGAAAACCAACCAGGCTCTCCTGGTGGCTGATGCATTTCCAAAGCTTTGAAGCCTTTGTTGGGTCCCTCTGCCCAACTTAGGACAGGAGATCCAGGTTCAGAAGGAGGCTTGGCTGTAGGTGTGGAAATCCCCCAGCATTTCCCACTCACTATGAGAGAGGAAGTTTGTTCAGGAACCGGCCCCCTCCTCAGTCAGCAGTGTTGTAGTTGTCCTACAAAAGATAGTTGGTAATCCTGCTGGTGGCATGTTCTTTTTATTTACAGTGGGGACTTAAACCTTTGAGTCAAGTGTTGAGGTAAGGCATCCACCCTTTTATATCTTTTTCATAACTCTGATGTGTCATCTTGGTATAACGTTGGCTCGGGGCTGTGATTAGAAGAAAGTACAGTTGTAAAAATGTTTTAAAACAGACTGTCTTATTTATACCTTGGTGAAAGGCCTCCACTGAGCCCTCTTGGAGTGCAGAGTACATTCTGAGCCTCTGACAGTGACTAAGGTATCAGACCCAGGTTCATTAACCTTTATCTAGGAACAGACAGGGAAGGTGGCCAGGTCACATAAGGTGGCCAATGCACACGAGTTCCCTGGCTGCCCTCCCACATTCCATTACTCAGTGTTTTCAAACGGCAAACAGTGGCTTTATAGTGTGGACGGCCAAGCCTGAGGTACAACACAGCTTTCGTAGATAAAGCTACCTACCACGGGTGACATGGGACATGACAGGGTTCTTTTCTTCTCTTCTGCTTCTCTGCAACCAGAACACTTTTTAAAAGAGGATGAGTGTTTCTGAGTGCCGGCATGCGTTTGTGAGCTAAAAGACTTTCTCCTCCTAACAGATGGGTTCACAAATCTCATCAGATTCTCCATAGGGCTTTCTTTTGGGTTTTTGAGACATGGTCTTATTTTGTGGCCTCGGCTGGCTTTGAACTTCCAACAATCTGCCTGCTTCAGCTTCCAAAGAGTTTATTGTGGTGGTGGTGTTTGTTGAATCTAGATGGATAGGAATGAATGGGTAGGACCAGGGATAACAGAAGAGAATCCACGATTCAAATACATCCTGGCTGGCATTCATCTTCATACCATTCTCAGCTATACATGGTTTTACATTGTGAAAGGGACAAGAACCATAAAAAATTCATGACATTAAATTGAACCTTTATATTGAAACATAGCCATTCTTTTTAATATCGGCATTGTTTCTAGCTGCTTCTATATTGTGGTAATACAACAGACAGCATGTAGACCAAAAAGAGTAAAAATTTTACTATCTAAGTCTTCAACTAAATGTTTCTTTGGTGTAGAATATTAATTTTGAAAAACTTCATTTCCCTGTGTCTTATTTTTGATTCTTCCCAGTTCTTTGCAAGGATATATTACTCGTCCTGGGTAAGAGAGTTTACTCTCCTTCTGCTCCCTTGGGTGAGGGCAGAAGAGCTTGGTTAGGGGCCCTGGCTACTTCCCAGGAGGTGGAGAAACACTCTCAGACTCTGTACTCTGATTAGCTCCTGGATGCTAGCAACACTGATTTGTAGGCTATACCACAAACATGCGGATGCTTCAGCTAAGAACTAGAGTAAGGGCACAGCAGCTGTTTCAGAATAAAGGTCAAGGTAGAAGGAAAAGGTCAACTGGGAAAACTATTTTGGATGTTCAGGAGATCATGACGACCAAGACAGCAGAGCGTGAGGAAACCTGAAATGGGAAGGTAGCATCATGTGAGTTAACATAGTGCCTGGTTGATGCATAGGCCTTCTACACCTGAAACCCCCACTGAAATAACAGAGACCGAAAGGGTTTCCAGTGCACTGGCACATTAGACATCTATTCCATAAAAGGGGAATTGTGAAGCACTGAGTATTTGATCTTGGGGTGCTCAAGTAATACCTTCTGTAGGACTCAGAGCCCAAGAAAGGAGGGAAGACAGATACAGATGGAAGTTCTGAGGAGGGATGACTATGTGTCCTAAAAACTCAGAACACCAATCTTGCCTTTGCTGAGAGCGACATTCCTAGAAAAATTAGCAAGCACCTGTTTTATGAACAAGACCCATGTTGCCCCTGCCTCACAGCAGCTGACAGCCAAGCCAGGAAAACAAGATGACCATGGGAGAGGATAGCTGCTGTCAGCAGAAGCCAAATAAGGGGAGTAGTTAGAGGGGCCAGGTGGAAGCAACCAAGGCTGTGGGCCCAGAGGAAAAAAATAAGATGAAAGACCCACCATGAACTGACTCCTGACAGAGGGGAGCCAGGCCTTGATCAGACCTCAGAGAGAAGTGATGTATAAATAGTTACCAAAATCGTCCCTCAGGAGGGGCAAAATATCCAAGAAAAAAAGAACCACCCAGAAGAAAACAATGTTAGGGAGGCTAGCAAAAGAGTGAGTCCTAAATTGCGCACATGTTGCTATAACTCACAATACAGTTCTAAAGTACTTTAAGGTATGTCCTGGGGAGGACAGCCTGCTGGAACTGGTTCTATAAATTTGTGTTGAAATACTGCAGAGTATTCACAGGGGCCATCTTTTGACTCTTGAGGAAGGTGTTTTGGGGTCATAGTTCTTTGATGTGAAATTTTGTAGAGTCTACTTTTTCCCCCAATCTGAAGTGAAGTTGATAAAAGGGTTGAGTTCTTCTTAATAGCAAGGACACATAGACCATAAAGACTAAAAATATTTACTATCCAGGCCCTCAACTAATGTTTCTTAATCTTTTCTTTGTCTTATTTTTGATTCTTCCCAGTTCTTTGCAAGGATACATTACTCGTCCTGTGCAAGACTCCTTCTGCTCACTTGACTCCCCTGCTTTGCGAGAGGACAGAAGAGCTGGGCTCAGTTAGGAGCCCTGGCTCCTTCCCAGGAGGTGGAGAAGCACTCAGACACTGCACACTGATTAGCTCCTGGATGCTAGGAACACTGATTTAGCAGCAGCAACTTAGCAGGAAACACACTGATGGGGAGTATGTTAAATTACTAGAAAATTATAGCATCTCTGCAAGTGTCCCTGACCTCACTAAATTACTCTCAGGCAGCAGAGAGGAGTTGGGAAAGTTTCACTCTTGACTCCCTGGTACCAAGGATCGAGATAGGGACTTCACTGTCTTAAACATATGGTTTCGGTCGTGTGAGTTAAGCCACTTTAGGATGTGTCTGCTGCTTTTTTCTGTTAGATATACTTTAACATCTTTCAGAAATTAAGTTGCATTTTAAGCTAAAAGGAAAAAAAAGTATTATGTGATTAAATGGTGCTCCTAATGATGTAAAATTCTACTTCTCATTAGTTTGTCTTAGGGCTTCATTGTTGTGAGGAGACACCATGACCACAGCAACTGAAAAACATTAAAACATTAAATTGGGGCTGGCTTACAGTTCAGATAGAGGTTTAGTCTGTTATCATCATGTTGGCAAGCGTGGCAGCAGACAGGCACACATGGAACTGAGAGTTCTACATCTTGATCTGAAGGCAGCAGGAGACTGTGTACCACTCTGGGCATAGCACGAGCTTAGGAGACCTCAAAGCCCACCCTACAGTGATGTACTTCCTCCAACACACCTAAGAGTACCACTCCCTCTGGGCCAAGAGTCTATGGGGACCGTACATATTCAAACCACAGCAAACTAGATTCATCTTTACCAAGTAAAATGTTCATTTTCAACAAGATCAGAAAAAAACTCATATTTCTTTTATGTGTGTGTGTGTGCTAGCATGTGCGTGGGCACATATATGTGCTCATGCTTGTGGAGACCTGAATTTGACATGAGACATCTTTATGGCTTGTTCTTTACTCTTATTTATTGAGCAGGGTTTCTGACTAAACCCTGAACTTGCTAGTTTAGTCAAGTTTAACTACAAGCTCCACCTGGAGATCCTCTGTCTCTGCCTCTCAAGATTACAGGTGGCCTCCTGGTTTGTACTTGGACTGTGGGGGTCAGAATTTTAATCTTTATACTTGCAAGGAATTTTAATCTTTATACTTTATCCACCGTACCATCTCTCCGACCACATAATTTCTGAAATCTGTCCCCTCTTCTTATCTCCAGGGATCACTACTTATGTGATGTGGTGTGGGTTACAGAAGAAAGAATTTCCTTGCAGTGGCTCAGGAGGATTCAGAACTATTCCGTGATGGCTATCTGTGACTATGATAAGGCCAACCTAACTTGGAACTGTCCATCGGTAAGATTTTACTGGGATGCTCTGCTATTCCAATGGCATGTGACACGAGAGATCTTTGTCACCCGAGTGACTGAAGGTTGAGGTTAGTAGATGTTTTAGTTTCTCTTCTCCCTGAGTTCATATCCAGCTCTGAAGCAGGAGGTCAGTCTTGCCTGTCAGATATTTGATACCCAATGGAGCTCCCATTTCTCTTTTACAGGCTAGTCATGGTGTGGTAGGTGTGGATGTGATCATTTAGGGGTTGGGGGGAAGGAGTGACTAGAAACCCAGACGACAGATGTTGATGTCCATATTCAAGATCAGGATGAGGACTAGAGGTTGCAAAATGAAGGTTATTTTAACAGGTAAAATATAAAAGATGGAAAATAGCTAGCTAAGCATATGGGTAACAAAACAAATACCAGGAAGGCACAGATCCATTACTAGACTGTAACCATTTCTAAGTAGAAAACCGACTTAGAACCTAAACACAGAACCATCAGTCTGAGAGGGTGCCAGTGCCGAGGAGAACCGAGTGATGATCCAATTGTGAGGTGCTGAGGTTCCCAGACAGGACACTTTGAAGTCCTTTGAGGCTGAGGATTTCAGCAAAAGTGGCTTGAGAGCCAGAAGCCACAGGAGAGGCTGGAGCTGAAGTCTAAAAGATCTATGTCATGACCACTCTGTGCCTCCTTTTTCTTTCTGGTCATGAACTCTGCAATACACACACCTAGCTGCTAGCATCCCAAATGGGCACAGGGCAGAGACTTTGAGGGATGCTCCATACTTTGGACACACTCATTTGTTGATGCAAGAAACATTACATTACTTAAAATGTCCCCACCTCGTTGCTAAGCTATGGGATTGTTTTTTTTTAAATTAACTAAACAGCCTGCATTTTCCCAAAAAAATGCTTTTGTTCTGGTAGAGAGAGTAAAGATATTCCTTTAGACTTTCTCTGCAGTCAAATCTACAATATGGTAGGTACACTGAAGCCTGAGGCTCAGTGTGGTTAAAAAGTGCCTATGTCATAGGACATACCTGAACTCATACCAGGAAACCCAAAGCTCTTTGCTTTCTGCTTCCTGACTCATCAACAATATCAGGACACTGTGGCATGGGAGGGTTTAAGATAGATACAGAGGGTAATAACAGATACTCTGCTGGAGTCGGGTGAACACGATCAGGAAATGGCTTGCAGGAAGATAGAGAGCCATCTAGGATAAGATGTCCTATGTGAACAGATAAGAAAGAAAGTTCCCTCTCAGCTGAGGATTGCTTGAGGACATCCATAGAGAACATCTTAGAGTACAGAGGGACTCAACACGCTTACCACCTAAGCTGGAAGTAAGGAACTGGGTGGGAAACAAGGCCAGTGATTAAGATTTGGGCTCAAGGGCCATGTTGAGGTGTTTGAATTTATCCTGTAAGGGTTGGAAAGCTGTTTCCAGTTTCTAAAATGAAGAGAATTTAATGGGAATAGAGTTGACCATTGCCAAATAAAATCAGCTCGGAGCTGAGCAGGGAGGATAATAGACCAGAGGAATAAATGATAACTGAACATCCAACTAGGAGAGCATAGCAGCAGCCCATTAGGAACATCCAGAAGACGTGAATGATGGGAGTGTCTGTAGGCAAGGACAGAGGGCCGAAGAAACGGAGCTAAGGGAGGCTTCCATGAGAAGAGAGTGAGAAAAGCAGGAATCTAGACTGAGTGGCTAAGAAAAGGTCTGAGAACAGGCTGCTGGGCTACAGGAAAGTGAAGGACAGCATTGAGTTCTGTGCATACCAAATTTAAAATGCCAGTTGGAGTTTCAGGCCAGCAGCACCAAGCTACAGAGATAAATGATCCAATGTAATCACATGAGAAATACTAACATAAACAGACTTACAGGATGAGAGATTGTTTTCATTTCTTTTGTCATACGTGTAATTTCATTTGTAGTGTATCGTGTGGGGCTAGGGATGTAGCTCCGGTGGTGGGTTACTGGCTTAGCATGCCTGAAGGCCTTGGTTCAGCACTACGTAAACTTGCATCTGATGGTGGACCCATGTAGCCCTAGTGCTTAGGAAACTGACACAGGATCAAAAGTTGAAGGTTTTGGTCATATTGGCAGTTTGAGATACATGAGATATCCATCTTTTAAAGAAAGGAAAATTGAAGGATTTTACCATCTTCTCTGAAACACTGCACTGTTCTTTTCTCCTCAGGCACAGCAGCATGTTGAAATGAGTACCACAGGCTGGGTTGGAAGAGTAAGTGTTCTGAGTTTTGGATTTCCTATATATCTTGACTGCTACTCAGAGCTGGTTAATATGTGGCTGTCCTATACTAAGGTACTGTGTTGTCACTGATAGAAACGTGAGTCGGCCCATATCTCAGTGTTAGCTGTGCTTCTTACAGTAAATGCACTCTATATCCAAGAAGGAAAAAGACAAGTCAAACACCAAAGTCGTGAGCAGAATTGATGAGCAAAGCACATTCTCCAAGTAACTGGAGTTTCCAGTGAGCTGCAAGGCTGCCAGGATGCAGAACATACCTGTTTGACCTGTTGTTTGAGTTCTACACTTTGGAGGCAGAAAAAGGTTTTCAGTCCAGCCTGGATGGCAGCCATCAAGAACAGTACCGATCCAATAATGTCCATTGCACACCTCTCTGGAGAAAACCACACATTGGCAGGCACTTTGAGGATGCTCTTTATCTGGGAAAGCAAGGTGCTCCTCACCTCTGCTCACCACCACCTGACATGTACAGCACCCCAGACTCAAGTCTGAGACTGTGGAAGAAAGCACCGGGTTGGGGGTGGGAGGTGGGAGGAGGGACTCCAGCCACCATGACACCTTACACAGAAGATGAAAGCTGAACGACATCTAGCTTTTTAAAAAGGGTGACTGAAGTGAAGCAAAGACTGTAACCATTTCACATCTCCTGGGTGAGAGAGGTGAGGCTTCAGTCCAGGAAGACGACGACCCCTCTCTGCTGGGCTGGGAGCTACCACAACATTCCCATGTCCTTTTTTTCCAGGCACTGATTGGGCAGAGGAGAGAGGTTTGCCAACAAGAAAAGTGGTTTCCTCCATGGCAAGAGACATGCTACACTTCCTCACGACTCTCTGAAAAAAATATGTTTTTTCCTCTCTGTATTTAACCAGACAGATGCCACTTTTCACACATTTCTACTAGGCACAACTCCATCCAGGGGAAACAGGGAAATGTATTAAAAAGATAAGGCTGTGAACATGGGTCTAGAGAGGGGAATGTGCCTGAGAACTCTGTAATGAGAACACAAAGTGTACTGCACGCCTCAGCTTGCTTCATAAATGAATTCACTTTGAATCACTAAATAGAAGAGGCAAGCATTTCCCTTCCTTCCCCAGACGGGAATGGATGAGAGAGGAAACACTCAGGGCGAAGTGAACCAACAATTTTAAAAGACCATCCCCTACCTGCTTGCAACATAACCAGGAAATAGAAATTGAAACGCAACATGGTCCTTCCAGGCTGGAAAGAGACCCTCTTCTATTTAAACACGATTTTCTGAGAACTATCTCCTATTGAACTTTTAAAAAAAATAAATAATTTTTTTGTTCTCCATTTCCACATAACCATTTTTTTGTAATTTGTTGATCATCTTTAGCAAAATGAAATGGCTTAGGATAAAAATAACTGTATGAATGCTTCCATGGGAAATCTATGGCAGAGATCCCTGATGGCATCTAGTCCAGGAGTGGTTAAACACGAAGTCTGACTTTCAAACCGAATTCTGTAAAAAAAAAAAAAAAAAAAAAGGGAATGAAAATTTCCACTTCCAACCTGAAACAGTAAGATAATTAGATGCCTTCTAGAAAGTGCACTTGCAATATCAAGGAAGTTCCTTCCAACAGAGAGAGTGTTAGGTTGTGTGCCCATATGGTTGGGAGTCTCCATTATTCTTGCAAGATACGTTCTGGAACAATGGAATCATGTCTGTGGGTCCAGTATCTGCTGTGAGCATTTTTATGTGCGTTCTCCCATTTACCCCCACCAAAGTAGCCTGTGAGTTTGTTCTCTGCTCCACATCTTCTACTTGGGAAGATGGTCATTTTGACGACTTTTGTTTCACCTGACAAGCAAAGGATGCAGGGATTGGAGAGGAGATCCAGAAACTGGGGTTAACCCTGAGGTGAGATTGGCGCTGTGACATTTCTTTGCTCTGTCGTTGTCTAGTTTAGGCCTGCAGAACCCCACTTCACCTCTGATGGAGGCAGCTTCTACAAGATCACCAGCGACAAAGATGGCTACAAACACATCTGCCACATCCCGAAAGATAAGAAAGTGAGTGTGCTCATGCAGCAGATCCCAAGCTGACCTCCTTCCCTAACTGCAGTAGACATCATTTCAGGACATTGAGCGGTGTGCAGAAATAGACTAATGCAAATTCTTCAGTGGTATATGGGCTGACGCAGAATAGGACACTGATGCCCCCAAAAGCAATCTCAAGTTTATTTGACTTTCTGATATAAATGATTAAATCATCTATTTAACTTTGCTAGGGGAGTCTAATATATCTCATATTTAAAACCCCGCCAGGACTGTACATTTATTACAAAAGGAGCCTGGGAAGTCATTAGTATCGAAGCTCTGACCAGCGATTATCTGTGAGTATATTCTAATAACCAGTAAGTAGGCTGTAAACCCGTGCGTTATACTCAGGCCCTCTCACAGAAGCGCAGGAAAATCTCCCACAAAGAATCGTTGATTTGGAATATGTTCAATCCTTTTTTTTTCTTTTTAACATACGGAAGCCTTAATGATTTTCACATACGCTCAGCAGATTTGACACCATGCCACCGAGCGGTTCTACCTCTCGGTTTTACCTGCTTTGCACTGGAGGGGCTGCAGTCTCTGATGAACATCCTGGGCTGCTGCAGGGGCGCTCTGCCTTCTGTTAACTTCAGACTGACATGGGCTCTCTGAAAGACTGAGAAAGTTAATTTTATCTGTCGGTGGCTTGGCCTTGCTCTTTGGATTATGGAAAGCTTTGCTTTAAGTGCCTACTAAAAGCCTACGTGAGCTGTCAGCAAAAGGCATTTTTTACTTTCCATTAGGATCTTGGGCTCTTCCTTCCTTGGCCTCATCACAGAAGAATTTTGCCATTGCCCAGAGTAGTTTCTGAAGACTTTACAGAGAGAGCTCTGCCACTTTCTGGAGTATACAGTCCCTACCGCCATGCTGATTATGTAATAAAACAGAAAAGACAGAAATCAGGAGTGGTACTTGAAGTGGGGGCAGGGTTCTCAGTTTCAAGCTAGCTGTCCAAGCACATTTTTCTTATAAAAGCTCTGTTTTGCGTTTTTTTACTTACCATTTCAATTCATGAAGAACTCCCTGGATTCATACATTTCAGACTGTTTAAAGAAAGTCTCCTGGGTAGAGATGGTGGAGGGAGATAGCTTCTGGATGGAATGGAGGGGCAGAGCAGAGCAGCAAGCGTGGAGAGAGGCACACACTCATGCAGTACAGCCATGTGTGCCTGTGTGCCTGGGTTGGAGATCAGGGGATATAGTTAATATTTCTGTAAAACATATTTAATATATATTGTCTTTGTTTTCTTCTCAGATACTACATTAGTAATGAATATAAAGAAATGCCAGGAGGAAGAAATCTTTATAAGTAAGAGTGCTGCTGGGACATTTTCATCAGGGGTTTTCAGTGACAGATTATTCCTTGTCCCTGTCTCTGTCTGTCTGTCTGTCTGCATGTCTGTTTTGTCCTAATTAATATTACACTGGAATTGTTTTAAGTACTTATATTACTTCACTTATCATTCATAGATAACCAAAACAATGACTTCATTAGGTGTTTACTGGCATTTCCTAATTATGGAACACTGAGGTTAATACATGCATTTTATGGTGAAGAGAAAGCCCCTGGAGGGTTGCTATGGTGGTCTGAGTCCACTGAGACCGGAGCATGACATTAGTCAGTTTCTTCCTCTCATATATGTTTTGATGAAGTACTTAATCCCCACTATTGGCTTTACAGAATCCAACTTACTGACCACACCAATGTGAAGTGTCTTAGTTGTGACCTGAATCCAGAAAGATGTCAGTATTATTCGGTGTCATTTAGTAAAGATGCAACGTACTATCAGCTGGGATGTTGGGGTAAGTTTGCATTGATTTGAGGAAGAAGAAGAGCCAATGCTTGATCTGTGAAAACTCCTGTCCCTACAGCCCCTAGGGGCAGGAGACCCTGAGAGTTTCCTCCAAGAGCCTATTTTTAATTCTCTGCTCAGCCCTTTTTCCTTTGGCAACCTAGGAGCCCTTGAAGACACCCGAGTCCTTTTCTATACTCATAGTGTGTGATGTAGACACAATACTTTCTTCCCTGAGTTCATTCTTTGATACCCACGTGTTCTAGGTTTTAAATAATTATTTTATGCATTTGTCCTTAAGTTAATAAAACACTGCCTATCTCCCAGAATCCTTACTACCCTGTCTTCTGTTGATATTGCTGCTGTTAATTGTTATTCCAAGTCTAGAAGCCTGGGTAAGGGGAGCCACAGTGACATTTGAGTCATACAGTAAGATCAAAGAGGCTTCTCTGAGTCCTCTTTTCTAATGCTGTACCAGGCTTCTTTTTAAAATGAGAAAATGAGTCTTGATACTCTAAAAATGCATAGTCAATGGCAAAGGGAGCTTCAAAGGACTTATCCTGTTCTTCTTTCCCTGAGGTATTTTGTTCTCTCTGATGCATTTCTTTAGTGTTCTTTAGTATGGCTGGATGCTGCCATCATTTCTTGGGTATGTGCTTTATACTAGGAACTGTGTTAAAAGCTTAATATTTGTGATCTTATTTAAACCTTAATAAAACGCTCCAAAGTACATATTATCGTCACTTTATCTGAAAAGTTATTGGCACCTAGACACACTGACCTAACCTATCCAGCAAGTCAGCCAGAATTCAAACCTATGTCTAGCCGTGCCTTCACTGTGGTTTTTTTTTTCAAGCAAATATAGAAATTAAATATATCATTTAAATGCATCAAAATTAAATAGATCACAAGATAGCTTTGCTATACATTACCTTCCACTCCACAGCTACCACAGTTGGGATAAATAGTGAGGATACGGGCTGGTGAGAAAAACACATTTCCATGCCAGAAAGAAACTGCTTATCCAAGTTAGGCACTGCAGATGTGTCTCCTGGCTCCCAGACTCTCCTGAGTGGGGGGACCGTGAGCGGACTCGCCTCCTCCAGGTGAAGCTGGTTCCAGAGCTCTGCCCACTCACCCTCCAAGGATCACAGGGCCTCAGTGGTAGTATGGTCAACATGTGGTCACAGAGAATGGGGAAGGTTAAGCTGTAATTTCAGCTCGCTGATGAGGAAACTGGGCATGGAGATGGTAGCCTGCCCAGGACGTCCACCAGAGCAGAGGTCCATTTCCAGCTCCCTTTACCTGAGCCCTGTGCCTCTGTAGGAATGCATCCTTCACTTAATTGTAGTTATTAGTGAGAAAAAAAGTAGGGGTGTGGAGGAGAGAGCTAAGCTTCTTATCTCCTGCAGTAGCTGCTTTGGTCAGACGGTATGTGTTTGAAAGTTCACACATGCATGCTATCCTCATCTAAAACCTGTTTTTCATTCACAGGCCCTGGTCTGCCACTCCACACTCTGCATCGCAGCACCGACCATAAAGGTACTCTGTCATACTTCCCCTGCCACCGGCTGGTAGGAAAGCATGCACGTGAATAGGACTAGCATGGGTTTTCCCTTGGCATTAGTGTCTTACCCAGGAGTTGGACACAAGCCTTCCTACCTGAAGTGTGCAAGCAAGGCCCAACTGCCACAGTGCACGCTTGCTCACTGTTGTCTCATGTGACCTAACCTCTTTGTACTGTTATGAATTATGGCTGCTTCATATGTTTGTTTAGAGCTACGAGTCCTGGAAGACAATTCTGCTTTGGATAAAATGCTCCAGGATGTTCAAATGCCTTCAAAAAAATTGGACTTCATTGTTTTGAATGGAACAAGTAAGTTACAGGTCTTTTGGAATAGTGTTTTTCGTGAAAACAATAATAAAATACAAATAATGAGACAGTTTGGTCTGAGGATATGTGCTTTGTGTTGTATGAATCTAATTTAAAAGGTTATTTTTTTCCATCAAACATTCTATTACAACAACTACTACTTTTGCTTTGTGTGTGTGTGTGTGTGTGTGTGTGTGTGTGTGTTAAAACAGGACTCTACATAAAATGCATTTTGTCAAGAGCGTTTGGGGGAAATGTATTATAGAGAGGTTAGTTCATCAAGTTAGTAACTCTGTTCTACCAGCTATCGTTAATTGTAAAAGCATAATGGCAAAGCTAAATCACACCTGATATATTTTATCTCTGCACCGTAGAGTTAGAAAACACCTAAGATGATTATGTTAAAATTTTGAGGTTGTTTCTAAAATGTTTAAACTTCATGCTTTTTTGGGGAGGGGGGAGGGGTTGTTGTTTCCTAATGAGCTCAGGTGGGGTGTGTTGTAAGCATGGATTGCTCTCAGACACCACTAGAACAGTAGATTTATTTGAGTTAGAAATCCTTGGGTTTTTTTGTTTGTTTGTTTCTTTTTCCACTCAAGAATAATGACTTATGGGACTTCATGACTGATGAGTTTAGATTTTTAATTTAGCATAATTGGAAATATGGAGCTGAAGAGATGCCTCAACCATTGGGAGCTGATACAGCTCCTGCAGGGGCCCTGAGTTCCTTTCCAAGCGCTCATACCTGGTGGTTTACAAACTATGTAACTCCACCTCCAAGAATTCCAACACCCTCTTCCGGATTCCCAGGGCATCTGCTCTTCCATTCACAAGCCCACACAGAGAGATACATATACACATAACCTAAACTAATAATACTTTTTAAAAGAAAATGAATAAAGTATTCAACCCTTGTCATTGTAAAGGGTAGGACAGGCCCTGGAAAGCAGGGCCCACTTTAGCAGAATAACTTAGCACGCTGCTCAAAGGGAATGTGTGTGTCACCAGGGTCCTCGATAACAAACACCTTCTGACCCAGCAGGGGTGCCACTGCTCCTTGTCCCTGAGACATCTTGAATGTAAAGAGCTCATTTTGACAGTCTGGTGCAGAGTTCTGCAGTGCATATGGAGACGCCATTCTATTTCGGTGGCACACAGTGGGAGTCCTTAGGTTTTAGGGCTGGGGAGGGCATGTGGTTAAAAGAAAATTTTCATAGAGCAAAGGAGGGGAACTAACATAACGGGGGGTGGGGGTGGGGGGGGAGACCCATTAGGCTCTAGCCAATCTCACTACAGGACAAGTGATTGGCCTAAGGATCTGAGACCTTGGGACCTCAAAAACCCCTCGTCTCACAGAAAAACTGCTGTTTTACAAAAAGATGGAGTTAAAACCCCTCTAATCAACTAGTGCAGGCCAGACAAGAATCGTGATGGGTGCATGCATTAAAAATATCAGTCAGTCTGGCTAATAGTTTGATATTTGATTAAAATTATAATAGAAAATTATATTTTTTTCGTACCTACACATTGAATAAAAAATATAAAATGATTAGGAAGCACAGATAGAAGATAAGCCCATCTATGTAAATATTTGACCATTGAATCCTTCTTTTTCTCTTTAACCAAAGTCATTCCGAAAATCAATCAAGAAGCAAAAGGGAAAGTAAACATAAGAAATACCTCTAGAGATCAGGGTTTTTTTTGTTTGTTTGTTTGTTTGTTTGTTTGATTGTTTGTTTTTTGTTTTTTGTCTTGGTTTGGTTTGGGTTTTTGAGCCTATAGTTTATGTCTTCCTGAGGATGTGAAACTCTCATTTGGATTTATTAGACTTATTTACTCTGAGAGCAAAGAAGACTGACTCATTATTTTTAAGATTTTTTTTTTATTAAACCGATGTTAAATCAAGCACAAGAATTTAAATGGATCCAAGGAATTGCCCACAGAACACGAAAGCAGTTTATTCCACAGAAGCCGACTTCATTCTGTGAAAAGCTGAGCTGAAAACAGGACTCTGCTTTTCGGTCTAGGATGGCAATGGGAATTATAAAATCGCTATTAAATCATCCAGATTTTAAAAGAGTTATGGCCGACTGCAAATTCTAAACAGCTTCAAGGAAATTCGAGAAGAGGAAAACATTTGGGAGGAAAATTTAGAACGTAAACAAGCTAGATAAGTAGATTGGGTGCCAAAGAACAGAAGCATAAAAACAAAACATTAGGAATCCTAAAATGCACTTGTATTTTAGAGGCATCGATGGATTCCACGGCTGTATTAGGAACAGTTCAATTGTTTTACCACCACAGTAACTTGCATTTGTGAACTAAACAGCTGGTTTTTACATCTTTAAAATGTGATCCTAAGCTGATCCTTCTCTTTTTCTGTCTAACTTAACAAATTGGTGAACTCTGAGGAATTACTGAGAAATAAGGAATGAGATCTCACTAATAACTATTTTTTAACTCACTAATTAATCTTTATGCTTGTTTAGGGTTTTGGTATCAAATGATCTTGCCTCCTCATTTTGATAAATCCAAGAAATATCCTCTACTGTTAGACGTGTAAGTATTCAAGAGAGAGTAATTCAAATGCTGCAATTTTCTGGGGGTACAGATTAGTGACATATAAAGCCAATACTTCTCTTCTTTCATACAGCTATTCCCCCTCCCATCTTGTACCTACAAATCCCATCTGTGTTTTCTCTTAATTTAATAAATGAGGTCTACACTTCTCTCTGTCATAATCATACGATTTGCTTTGCTTCCCTAGAGTTTAAGGGAGCCCCACTGGCCTTTTCTGGTTCTCATCTCCATCTTTTCTTCCTGACAAGCAAGAAAAGGGCACTTTTAATCTACCAAGTTTTCTGTCATGGACACGGCCAAGGAATTTCATGTTACAAAAAAAAATATTTACTCATATATGAATGCATGAATATGTTCGCCTGTTTAAATTTAGAATGCTACAACATTTAGTTTTAAATTAAAACAATGTGATATTTTGCTTAAATGAAAGTTCTTTTAACTTCCATCTCTAAAGAAGAGGCAAGAGTGTGTTAGTAGAGGCATTCATGCAGGACTTGGTTGTTCATTGTGGGGTTGCAACAGTCAATGAATAGGAAAAATAATGAATTGAGAGGGAACTATTATTAGAGAAGATGTGTATGTACCCAGAAGTCATGTAGACTGTGCAGAGAGGACATTGAAATAAGAAGCAATAAGCTTCTAGGGATTATCTCTTGATACACACGAGATTTGTATATATGGCTATACGTGTGGTAGATTTTAGGCTGTAAAGGTTGCAAATACAGCAAAGTTCAAATTCTTGCACCGATAAATAATATACTTATTTCAAGTTTATATTTCTTTGTCCTTGAGGTTTTAATACTAGCATTCTTTCATATTATGGTCCTTTCTACCATGGTATAGAGTCTCAGAGTGGGCAACACTATATAAGAGCCTTGAGGGAATGAAAAGCATGTGATGCTCTAGTCGAAGTCTTTAAGGAAATCCCAACCTAGGAAATAAATGTATAGACCGAGATGGAAAAACTACACTAGTCATCATTGTTATTTTTATAAAACAATTTCCCCTATCCCTAGTATTTGATAAATAACATTTTCTATTTTTAAGATTGCACAGTACTTAAAACATAGACTGTGCTTGACGATAGTGTTCAAATACAAATCTTTAGGATGTATTTAAAGGAAACACACACAGCCATAATGGTCATGTTGCCAAATTAAAAGAATGCAATTGTCATCTCAGAGACTTACTACTGAATAAACTTACCATTATCTAGTTCTTTCTAAACTCTGGCTGGCAGGTTCAACTCAACAGTTCTGGTCTAAACTCCTCTCCAACTCTCCTTCTCACTAAATTGCTCTGCTTAACCTCAAACTAACTCTGGATTTGTTCTAATCTTCTGGCTCCTTCTTATTCTCTGGCTCCTGTCTTCACATACAACTTGTCTCTGTAAAATTGTCTCAGTCACACTCTCTCTCTCTCTCTCTCTCTCTCTCTCTCCCCCCCCCCACTCCTGCTCCATCTCTCTTTACCTCTTCCCCAACCCCTCCTCCCCTTTCTGCTATTTTCCTGTGAGTTGGGTGTTTACTGTCTCTGATCACTGTCTGCCCCTCAATTAGATGTCACTTTCAAACATGGTTGCTTCCTTCTACAAACAACCTTTGCTTTCATTGTAGGATTAAGCATGTGCACTAAGGGCTACCTGTATTCCAGCTAGAGGGATTAAAGGTGTGGTCTACATTTCAGCCAGATCACACAGACATAGAAGACCTTTGGATGTGATCCTTGTCAGAGCAGCCTTGTTGCTGGATTAAAGTTCCTCTATAAATGAACCCATTCTTGATAGTTCAGTGCTTACTATGATTTTTCAGGCCCATGATTGAGAAGGATACAAATACCTGATCCATAGGAGAAAAATGGTAGTGTTCTTTATTTAAATGTGGAACTTTTCACAGATATGCAGGACCCTGTAGTCAAAAAGCAGAGCCTTCTTTCAGACTGAACTGGGCCACTTACCTTGCAAGCACAGAAAAGATCATAGTAGCTAGCTTTGACGGCAGAGGAAGTGGTTACCAAGGAGATAAGATCATGCATGCGATCAACAGAAGACTGGGAACGTTGGAAGTTGAAGATCAAATTGAAGCAGCCAGGTAAGCAACTCAGAGATGAACTCAGATATCATTGACTTCTTTTCTTTCTTTCTTTCTTTCTTTCTTTCTTTCTTTCTTTCTTTCTTTCTTTCTTCCTTCCTTCCTTCCTTCCTTCCTTCCTTCCTTCCTTCCTTCCTTTCTTTCCTTCCTTCTTTCCTTTGTTCTTTCTCTTTCTTTCTAAAATATGAAGAATTTGAAGGTACTGGAGGATGAATTTATAATCCCTCACCAGTGTTAGTTTTTAGTTTTTATTTCTATATGACTTGAGAAAGGGAGTTGGCATATACACTACCGTCATCCAAGAGTTGAGGGTGAGCTCCATGAAACCCAGGGATAAACTGAGGAAGGAGTGACTTTGTTAGTGAGACTTCCGGGTGCTGCAACACGATGTCTGGCGGAAGAAACTTTCAAGGGGAAGGATTCATTTGGAGTCCTGGTTTGAGAGATGTCAATCCGTTATTCTTGGTTCAGTTGGATAAGGACAAACCACAGTGTTTTCAGCCCTTTCTTCTGTGCGCTTTGATGACAATTTTCACTTTAAAGTTGGCGGAAAGCAACCAGCAATTATCATGCCAAGCACTGAATGCTAGGCAGTACTGACTTTTCTTCCCTCAAATAAATTAGTCTTTCACCATAAAACCCAGCCTCCCACAAAGTCTTAGGACATGGGACAAAGGTAGACAGGTCCTTTACTACAGTAAAACAATGACCTTTGGTCCAATTGTTGGTTAATTCCCTCGGCCTCCTCCCACCCCCATCTGATTCCTAATGAGTAGGATGTGCTGCTGCCTACATCCTTACAGGCACTCTGGGTTTCCAAGCTCCCACCATGACCACTCACTAACCTCTGCTGACAGCATTCTAGCCAGTTTCTTCAAAGCATTTCTTTTTCTGAATTTCTAATCCAGACGAATGCCAAATGTTTCTGAGTTATGAGATCTAATGAGTCACAGCAAGGACCCTGTCTCTTGGTCCCAATGATGAATGTCAGTGAGATTTTTGTTACAATTATAAAATATAGGATTAAACAACTTAAAAGGAGAAATTACTTACTCTGCACCATGGTTTTAGAGATTTCAGTCCACAGCCCTTGGCTCTGTTGCTTCCAGGCCCGTGGTGAGGTAGAAAATTAGAGTAGCAAAACTTGTGATGAGCCTGTCTACCTCATGGGATAGTAGAGTGGGCCTTCTCTCCTCCCTCATTTATTTATTTATTTATTTATTTATTTATTTATTTATTTATTTATTTATACCCTTGCTGATGGAAAGGTACTGCTCACATTCAGGGTGGGTCTTCTGTTCACTGTTTACCCAGAGATACATGCAAGGCTTGTCTTAGTAATGCTTAGGCCACGTATCAGTACAATCAAATTGAAAATTAAATTTAACTATCACACTAGGTAAACATTTCGCTAAATAGTTGAGCCCATCCCTTATAGTCAGAACTACATGGTAGAGAAGTTGAATGTATATTCAACCTTGTAGAGACTAATAGCAAGGCAGTCCAAGAACTGGCTCCTACAGCCTAGATAAGGGTGACTCTTCTATTTTTGGAAAGTTTTGGGGCACAACTGTCATGAATCACAATTATGAGAGCTTCATTAAGTATATACTGGGCATCTCATTCTGACCTTCCCCCATACAAATACAAACTGATGTGTTTTGGGTTAAAAGAGAGAATCATACTATGGTAAACACATAGCTTAAGCTGCAAGGCATCCCAGGGAGGGGGGGGTATTCTTATCATGTATTTCAAGTAAAGAAACAATTTGTTGGGGAGAACTAGGATTAGAATCCAGTCTATTCCAACTCTTCTGTTCAACTGGATCTAGCTGGTGAATTGTATATGCAACCTTTGGGTTCCCAAGCAATCTGATAAGTGTTTGAAGAAGTCTAATAAATCAGCGGTTTGAGACTGTGTTGTAAATTAGAGACTGAGAGATTCAGAATCATCCGTGGAAGATCATTGTATGGAGAAAAAGAACTTTAAAGAGAAATAAAGAAAATAAAAGATGTTAGATAAGTCTCTCTAAGTGAATGAAGTTCCTTATGCCAAAGTTAATTACTGACCATTTTCTTTAAAATGTAAAAGAAATTTTAGATTAACAAAAGGGTAAATTAGAGATTTTGTTGTAAAAAAAATAAGCTTTTATCCAGTAAGATTGGTCACCTTTCTATCAGAGGAAGCTATGGTTTCTGTAACCCCATGAATCTAAGTTCTAAAAATGCTAAAATCACTGAGTGCAATATTTATAAACTAAAGTCCCAGTTTAAGACAATAATGATATGCAGTACTACTTATACAATGGAATACTGTTACAGTAACTAAAAGGAACTGAATACAGGAGCACAGACGACTCCCCAAATAACACTGAATGAAAGAAGTCAGGTATGAAGTTCAAAATCAAGTGCAAACTCAGGTCTATATTTGTGGAATACAGCAAAAAGAAACATTTTAATTTATTTTCACTTTTCAGACAGGAAAATGACCAGGAGTGACCTTGTGATAGCATACATGTTTACTTTGTAAAGGTGTATCACCCTGTGCAATCATGATTCAGATCCTCTCTGTATTTAAGGAGACTGACAAGGAGAAAAGTTGAAAAGAACTCTTAATTTGTTTTGGTACCACTTGTCTCTGCAGCCTTGGACACATACCACCAATTGAAAGCAAAATCCACTGTCCATCAACAGGAAGACTTCTACACCTCCTATAACACCACAAAATTACACATTATATTTGCTAGACTTTCTTAAGTAAAAAAAAAAAAATTGGCTTTTGATTTAAGGATAAGACTTTAAAAAAATAGGAGTATAAAACAAAGATCATATTTCTTTACCTGCATTTCAACTCCTGACACAGTTGGGTGACAAAGATGTTTCTTAATCCATCAAAGAAAATATACTTTCATTTAATGGTGCTGAGCTAGCTAATCAACACCCAGCCCAGGATGGGATTTAGATGTTTGTGTTTAAATTCTCAGGTAAGAGTACAGAGACAATTCTAAACCTTCTCAGATGTTCTCCATGCCCTTGTCTTTTTCTATTGCAGGGGGTAACCACTTTCAAACTGAAAAACATCTGGAGAGATTTAAATTCAATTATGTAAAGAAAAGTGCATCTGGGCTGCAAATTTTTATATAAAGCTGTGAAAAAAACTGCCAGGATTTGTTTTCTGTGAATCATACACGCACACACACACACACACAGAATTTTTATGGACTCAACCCTTCTTCATGTCGTTCTGATGTTAGCATGGTAGATACTGCTCGGAGGTGTTTTTGACCACTGGTTCTGTTGCTCTTAATTTGTAATAGAATGAAGGAGATAAAAAAGGACCAGCTTTTCACATTTATGTGGTTAGCTTACTTCTCTATACACAGTGGAAAACTGATTTGCAAACTTCTTTCGTGTGTTTTAGGCAATTTTTAAAAATGGGATTTGTGGACAGCAAGCGAGTTGCGATTTGGGGCTGGGTGAGTAGCTGTCTTGACTCATGGATTTGTGTGCACTCCTTAGAGAATTTAACAGACTGGGGGTTAATTTATCTTTTGCATGTAAATCTTTGGAGATGAAAATCCTGTCTGTCATGTCTTGGGCCTCTGAGCAGCAGGCTTCCTAAATGCCTACTGAGTAAGACATGTAACTCTGTTTATTGTGATGAGATACAGAGGCCAGAGCAAGAGTGGGGAGGAAGGAAGGAAGGTGGGTGGAGAAGGCAAAAAGAAAAGAAGGCAAGAAAAAAAGAGATATCTTATTAATCAGCAAAGGTTCTCTGCATATTGTTTTTATTTACTATTTTCTTTAATTTTTGTATGATCACTAGGGTCCACTAATGTCCCATTCTTGTTCTCCTGATGTCTATGAAAAGGGACCAGGACTCTGAAAGTGTATACTTTAGATACTGGCCAATTAAAGCCAATTTAAGCCTCGTATACCATGCTTTCTATCTCTAAAGAGGCACAGTATATAAAGATGTGAGAAATGTGGAAACCGCGACTCGCTTACCATATGTCCTTATTCCTTTACCTCCATAAAAATAACTGTTTCCATTCCCCAGTCATATGGAGGGTACGTAACCTCAATGGTCCTGGGATCTGGAAGTGGCGTGTTCAAGTGTGGAATAGCCGTGGCACCCGTGTCACGGTGGGAGTACTATGGTATGTAACTGCTGTTGTATGCACTGAGCTATTAAGTGTCGACCTTAACATTCTAGTGAGAATGCCATTCCTATTTTAGTTTTCTGTGTTTCTATGGAAAATAATAGGCTGGGTTCTTTCTGTGGCTGTTTACAGAGTCGTATAAGATGTTCTCGTTTGTTCTGCTGTTACACAAGCCCGAATGCCATTGTGTGTTACCTACACATTTACTTTCTCATCAACAAGCCTGTTTCCAGAGTTTTAAAACAGTGTTAGTGCTACATTTCTCAAATAAATGTTTCTTTATTGTTATTAGAGTTTGATTTGGGACTTCACATATAAATAGAGGAGAGGAAGTATCTATCTCTTTTCCTCTGAATGAAGGTTAAATATTAGTTGGGTGTTCCAGGAAGAAGAGACAGGAACAGTTGAGTTTCTAGGAGGATTTGGTTTCCCACTGTATTTTAGTACTAGAATATCATCATCATCATGAGATAGACCATACAGCATCATTTTCTGACATGACAACGCCCAGGGCAAGGCTAGGCAGAGATGAACATCGAGGGTTAGGAAGGGGATGCAATATTTTCTCACGCATTCTCTGATCTCACTTAGGTTCCTTATGTAGCAGTGCAAGAACGGAATTGTTGATAAAGTGTGTGCTTGTTAATATCTATACCCTAATATATGGCAGCACAAATCCTGCAAACACTCATCTTTGAAACTCTCTCCAAGTCAAGAGAAGCCAATGTGCAAATCTTTCCACCATCTTTCCGCTGAAAACTTGGCAGGCTCAGATACAATTTAATTTGCACACAATGGAGTTGTTTTTCCTTGTGATACTTTTGTTTCTAATTAATTGTTTTGTTGGATGGTTTGTTTCTGGAGACCTCTGGTGGTCAATCAAATAATAAAATAGCCTTTGTGAGGTTGCAGACATGTAAGAGAAGTTCATTAAATGTACACGGCCTAATACACAGTAACGAAAGAGAGCTTTTAATATATGTGTAATTTTAAACAATTTTATTCAAAATTGAAGACAATGAATATGTAAGTGATGTTTCAAGACATTGCTCTAAAATTTCACAACTATAGTATGTAGCTATGCATATTTTTAAAAAGTATAGTTTCAAAAAATTTCAGATCTTAATACACATGTAAACATGGTTAATATAGATTTAAAAAGTGGCATGTCCTGAGAAAAGCAGATTGAGGGCTGTAGAATAGATGTTGAAAAAGTTTTATATTGCTCTCAAAGACTGCTTTCCCCCTATTAAATACATAAGCAATATTGCTAATATTTGATTTTTTAAATTAAAATATACATGAAAAGATCATTATCTTTTACTTTTAAGTGTCCTTTAAGATGCTATATTTTTATAGGAATGATCTGTAGATACATAAAATTACACATAGTCCATATTCACTTTAAGTAAAATAACAGATATTACTATTACTACTGCTCACTTAGGAGGAGGGGGTAGTAATGGAAGACCAAACACTCTTCAGCCGTGTTTTTAATCTAAGCCTCAGTCACTGCAAAGCATCACAGTATTGACTTTAAGCAATAAAAGGTTTTAAAGAATCCATAGAATGAACGTCGAGATACTCGTTCAGTCTAGGGAGAGTCAAGCATAGAGGCAACACATGATTTTTAGTCTCATTTACTGCAATCTGGCCATTTAAGGAGGCAGCTTTTAAAACATCACGTAAAGCAAAAGAGATCAGATTCAGAAAGACAAATGTCACATATTTCCCTTCACATGTAAAACCTAGAATTGACATTAAAATATAAAGGACTGTAAGTATGACATGAGAGTAGAAGGGGACTGTCTGGAAAAACCAAGGAGACAAGCATGTAGTGTGAAGGGGTCAGCAGGGGGATGGGCTGAAAGTAGGCACAGCAGCATGTACTTGAATGAGATCTCTTTATTAAACTCACACTTTGTACAAAGAATAGACACTAATAAGTTACAAAACAACAACAACAACAAAATTCCATCAGTGATATTTTAGAGTACTATATAATATAGGATTTCAAATTTTTAAATTGAGTAAAGTTATGTTTAATTACCCAAAATAACTAAACCAATTGTGCAACCTGTTATTCTACCATATTTATATATAAAAGAGCTTATGTCAGTTCAGCAGACAGATATTAATGTAATCTGTTCGCAGTGCTCAAGTGTTACAGCACAAAACTTGAGACCTCCCCATAACGTGAGGGAAAACAAATGTTTAACTTGAATTATGATGAAGCAGCTGTGTCAATATGGACTGTTAATTCTTTCTTTTCACCATAGTGGATCTCAACCTGCCCAAAATGTAAGGTTTGAGGAAGTCACTTGGAATTGATCATTGCTAGATATTCCCAAAAGGAGATCGATTATCGTAGCATGAGGGATGTGTTTGTCTTTGTACCACAATGAGACAACAGAGGCACTAGATGACTCTGATTGAGTGGGCCTCTCTGCGGGTCAGTTGCTGGTTGTGTTTTAGGTTGTCTAGTCTGTACACCCAGTACCCTGATCCTGAGGGCTGAGTCCAGATGCGTCAGTGCTGCAGAGGAGTCCTCAGTCTGAGAGTGTGGCCTGGCCATCAGCATCTCTGGCCTCATTAGCAGGGCTTGGTGGAGGAGATGCCTTCATGAGTTAAGGCACAGGAAGATAGGAAAATGTAATAGATGTGATAGATGTAAGAAATGCTGTTATTAAAGGACCTCTTTTCTCTTTTCCTATCCCAGACTCAGTGTACACAGAGCGTTACATGGGTCTCCCAACTCCAGAAGACAACCTTGACCATTACAGGGTAAGAGCTATGTCAATCTTATAATTGTGTATAAGTGGCCCAGGAACTTTGTAATTGTATCTATTTTAGAAAAAAATATTATTTCCAACAAAATTCTTGTTAAAAAGAAATAACACAGGTGGTTTAGAGATACTCCAATAGCTTCCCCTACTATATTTTGCATAATTACAGTCTTTATCATATGCTATATAGGTCACAATATGCATTCATTTGGAAATACAAAGCAACATCAGATAATTACTTTAATTATAAAAATTTCAGTTTAGAAAACATGTCAAATTCAACATATTCTTTTTAGGACCCGGAAGATTCTTTAAGCCTTTAGCAACATATTAAAGTTTTTATGTTATTATAATAGTTAAAAGGTAAATGCATGTCTATAATTCTCTTACTCGCAGCCAGCTATGTAGATTTTTAACACGGGATTTGCATAAAGCAGGCGAGGTGGCAGGTGCAGTTGGGGAGTACCCTGAAGAGCCCTGTCCATGAATTACCAAATAGCTTTCAATAGTGGGAGAGGCAGTGGGCAGCTGGCTCTCCGGAGAAGCTGACACATTTGAAAGGTGACCTGACTGTCGCTGCACTTGCCATCACTAGTGTGGAGGCCACAGCCAAGCCTGAACACGCATTGCATCCTCCTGATGCAGCTGTAGGAACCAGCACCACATTGACATTTTCAAAACTTTCCTGGGTCTGTTGGCACTATTAGTTGAGGAAAAAAAAAAACCTTGTAAACTAAATTAAAGCTTTTCGATAACAACTAAAATCATCTCTGACATTTCCATTCTCCAAAGATGTCCAAAAACTCTCCGCAGGAAAATGAATTAAAAAGAGAGAAAAACAAGAATAATGTCAACACAGAATTTTCTCTGTTGTGACTCTTAATACATAGGCCTAAGAGTAATATTCCTCTGACCAGTATACATACATTTTTGGAAGATGCTATCATTATTAAAATGGCATCTGAAATCATCTGATCAAAACACAATGAGTTCAAAGTTTCAGTTTTGCAAGATGTTTGTGTGTGTGTGTGTGTGTGTGTGTGTGTATAATTTTACTTTTATCTGCTGTCTAACTAGCAAGCTTGCATGTGCAGGGGGCATGTTATATTAGTACCTGTATGTTTTTATGTTTCTGAGACATTATAGAAAAGTAACAACCTACAAATTAAGATGACACACTAGATATCTTTAGCTACAAAAAAGCCTCCTGATCAGGCTATTCCCATTTCTGTCAGAACTCTCCATTCTTCTCACTCTTGAATTCCATATCCTATAATCTGTTTTAAGTATTGTTTCTCTCATTCCTAACTACAATGCTCCTAGCAAATGACCTAGCTCCCTGTGTAATAGTAGCCCAGTGTGTAAACTTCTGCTCTGTTTTTTCATAATATACTCTATTTTACACCTTGCTAGTACCTTAACTACATACAGAGACACACACATACACAGACAGACAGACACACACACATACACACATATACATATACAGACACACACACACATTCATAGACACAAACATACACAGACACACA